ATCTTAGCTTATTTTTAAGCCTATATTAAATCTATCATTAACTCGACTTATTCACCAACAGTATGTCAATAGCTCAATAAATCAAATTGACGTTCGATGTGCGTTCAACGTATTATAACTCTCTGCATTCAACTTATTATGTACGACGACTCTTGGATCAATAACTTACGTGCGTGTCATTTCCCTTGCCCAAAAGTTTTGTTGCTAAGATGAAAAACATGTATATGTCAACCATAGATGCAAAAGTCAATGTGTGAATACAGGTTATTTTATCAATAAATTTGAACTAGACTTTAAGTTTTGTACGCTAGATGGCAAGATCAATTAAAATTTTTTAGTTCTGTTATTTTATTTCTTATTATTTTATAATTATTTTATTATAATTTTTATTCACTCTTGAGTTAATTTTTTTTCTTATGTTGTTTTCATTTTGAAATACATGTATTTTAAATAAATAAAAAAAATATTCATCAACAATGAATGCGATTTAATTTGGCATAAGTGCAAAAGTTAAAATACATTTTCATAAAAAAGAAAACAAATTAATAAAAAAAAAAAACAATAATAAAATTAAAATCGACTATCTCAGCTGGAATGACAAGTGGTATTAAAAATTATATGAACTACATAGATGGATGTTCTTTTACACATACATATTTACATACATACACAAATGGATGGATTAAAATGCTCCCTTTGCATAATTATAATTGGAAAAATCTTTTATAATGAAATATGTATAAAGCATTGTGTAGGTTAGATGAGCCATAAAGACTTTTTTTTTAAGAATTTCTTAATTTATGAGATCATCTTTTAAATTTTCAAGTGGAGAACATGTGATTATAATTATAAGTATACATACATATGTATGTATATATATTTAAAATACATGATTTTAAAAGACAAGATGCAAAATAAAAAAAAAATATCGAATAAGAGAAGGCACATTTGTTTTTTAAAAAGGACTATTTTTCATCCCATCTCAATTGGCGGCAGCAAAGTAAAATGCAAATTCAAGAAAAAAAATTTTTTTTCAACATTTTAAAATATGTATTGCAAATTTTTAATGGTAAATTAAAGTTTCGGTATGTGAAATTTTAATTTAGAGAAAACTTAAAACTTTTAAATTTTTAATTTGTAACTCTTTATATTCGTAGGATCATTCAATCCAACTATATACAATTGGTAGTAGATGAAAAACAACTAAAGAATACGCTTTTATAATGACTGTGCGCCACATTTTTAGCACTTTTCCAAAAAATTTTTTGAAAAAAAGTGCTTATTAGTTTCACTCTGTCCGTCCGTCCGACCGTCCGTCCGTCCGTCCGTCCGTCTGTCCGTGTGTCTGTTTACAAAACTTCTACACCCTTGAAGATAGAAAGCTCAAATTTTGTATGTACATAGATCTTTACTAGAAACTTATTTCCGTAGAACAAAATTTTTACCTATCTCCCCCCCTCTAGAAGTTATACCCCCCCAAAACCTTAAAAATGGCCTTTTTTAAATATTTGTTGCAATGAAACCATAAGCATTTTTGAAATTTTGCAAACGCATAAAGCCAGCGGCTTGCTTCCCCTAGCGCGATATACTATATTTAAACTTTATAAAAACAAAATGGCCGTTCAAATTTACCGTTATCTAAATTTTTTTTTTCCAAATTTTTGATTTCGTTTTTCTTCTAGACCCCAGCCTGTAGAAGTTTGAAATGTTAGAGGCTTATAGATATTAACAAATAGTTCATTTCGTTAGAAGAAAATTTTTTTCCATCTTCTCCCCCTCTCAAGTTATCGCCTCTTGAAATTTGCAAAATTTGAATTTTTGGCGCCTTATATTTCCAAAACCGCAAACGTTTTCAAATTTCTATAAACATAAAAAGCTAGCGGTAAATTCCGTGACATTAAAAAATATAATTATTTTTCTTAACTCACACAATTAACCATTAAAATCGGACTGCATGAATGCATCATCCTAAATATATGCAATCCTAGAAATAGTTAAATATGAATGAAAATAATTTTAATAGTGTGATAGGTATGCATACACTGTATTTAAGAGCAGAATTTTCACTTGTTGAAGGGAAAAGTGCTACAATACAAACCATTGGTTTGACCCAACTTTTTTATTATTTATAAATCTTAATTTCACCTTAATGGGAATAAAGTTTTTGTCCTTAATTCATTATTGAATTAAGTTATGAGATCATTGACAAATTTTATATGTAAAATATTTAAACATTATTGAATAGAGTTCAAAAGAATATTGCAGAGTTCATAATTAAATTTTATATATTAATTGTACCTAAAATATGTAATTGTTTATCAGCAAAGCAAAATGAAATTTTTCAATATATTTTTAATTTTACTCAATTTAATTTTGATTTAATTAAAGAAATTTTTAAAATTAGAAATTAGGAAAATTATAAAACACAAAAAAACATATAATATAATTAATTGGATTGTATATAGCTCCATATATTACATGATAAAATAAGAAGCTGCACATTCATAAGCATTTCAAAAGAAAAATTCATTCTCACATATCATTCTTAATTTATATTCATACATATATAAGAGTATGTATATACATATAGGAAATACAGTTTCATATATTTTTTAAGATTTATGCAAATAAATGAAAATCATCTAAAAATTTTATATAAAATAAAAAATCGATTAAAAACCAATTAAATTTATTTTATACCAGCAAATTTTCAACCAATTTTTACGAAATAAAAAAGTGCTTTTTAGGATCATCCGTCCGGTCATCCCGGTGTTAATTTGTAAATATGTTCTCTATCATTTTAATGGATTCTTTGTAGAAAAGCTATATTTCTTCTATTCTACAATTATTGTAGCTTCAACTAGTGCTTAAAACTAAGATTTTATTTTATAACAAATAATTAAATCAAAATCTTGGGTCTCGAATAAAAAAAACTGAAATCCCAGAACTTAAAAAATTCCAGTATTATACTGCATTACTAAAAACTGCATGCTGTCTTGCTGAATTATTTGAGCTAGTACCGCATTTTTAAATTAAAGATTATCAGTTGCTGTCATGCAATAAACTAAAAGAGATAAATTTTCCCGACAAAAACATTTTTGCAATTTCATTTAAAGGACACTTTTCATTTTTACGACTATTTTATGAGTGTAGGGTATGAGACAAGAGTTACAACTATAAAACTTGAAAATTGTTTTTTTTTTGCTTCTTTCGTTTTTCTATCCTTCCCGGTTAAGTGTATTTTAACAAAGAAACGATTAATTTTTTTTATAAATTTCTTTCTTTTGTTTGTTTCTGGTTAAAGAGATTTTGTTGGTGATAATTTGATAGTAAATTTTAAAATCTTAAATATTTACAAATTATCTTTATAAAATAATCTAGAGAATAAAAAAAAAAGCCGCTAAATCATTTGCATGTTCTGCGCTGTCTTTTTGTTTTTTTTTAATGTTTAATAACAAGTTTTTTTGTTTCATTTTAATTATAAGTTTGATAAATTAATTGATTATATTTTATTATATAACTAAGTTTTAAAAGAAATATAAGCAAGTAAATTGAAGCAGAGCAATATGTTACCACAGCGCAGCGTCTTCCTTTTTTTAGTTCTTAACATAATAGGCCTTTTCTGAAACGCAGTAAATTTCGATATATAGTAAAAATTGCGTTATATTTGTGTTCATAAACAAATATTGCTAACGTAATTTGTTGATAAACATACCTAATTTTTCGCTTCATAGCAAAATTATTGTGAGTAGCGCAGTTAAATCATATGAATGGTTTTGATTTTGTGGAATAGTTAGTAATATATTCAAGTTATGTTTTTGCAGTATTGCGATTCGTAGTTATTGTTTTGCAGTATTGCGTTTGTGAAAATCTCTAATATGACCAGCCCTGCTTTGATTTTTTTGCAAATAATAATGATTCAATTTGTGTTCTATTATATTATTATATTATATATATGAATGTATGTTTAGCAATGTATGTTAGCAATGCAACAAAATGACGTGTTTTTACTCTCATTTATTTAAGACACTCAACTGAGTGTAATCTAACAATTTTAATTGAATTTGATTGAATATTTGTCATTAATGCATTAAATTAAACTGTTAACTTAACAGTCTTATATGTTAATTTAAAAATAAAAAATTATATGATTCTATATCTGATAAAAATACCATTACGTATGTTGGTAAGATTGTATTAGAAATGTTGGTAGTTTGTAAATTAAATGTTATTTAATTTTATAAGTTGTCTTCCACTGCGAAAAGGTAAATTTTTATTATTAATAATCACACTGAAAATGCAAAACAGTTTATGTATAAATGCGGCTGTGAACGTGTGCATCAAACAGCTGATTCGAATATATTTGTATAATAAATTTAATTTATACAAATTTTAATCTTTAAATTTTAAAAATTTCGCTTGTTTGACACTTTTTTGATTGCCTTTTATAAAATATTGTCAATGCCAATTTAAAAAAAAATTAAAAGAATTGAAATCATTTTTGTGGTCTAAAATAAAATGTTTGCCTTTTTAGAATTTATATTTAATATTTTTTTTTGCTTTATAAACTAACAATGTGAATGTTTGCTCTATATATACATATATATATATATATGTATACACAATGTACGTAAAATACAAATCGATATATGTATATGTAACTGTAAAATAAACTTGTACTAAAAATTTATTTTTGTTTGTGCTAAATTTGCTTTTTTCTTAAATCAATTTGTAATAATTATTTTATTGTGCTTATTAATCTCAAATTTGGGTGAATAATAAAATCAAAGAAACTAATATATGACATGAAAAAAATTCTAACAAAAAAAAAAAAGAAGAAAACTAACATTGCATTTGGGTGCTGCTAAATATTAACAAATTTTGATTTTTGTATTTTTTTTTTCTATTTAAATTAATTATTTTAATATTTTAAATTAATTTTATTATATTTTATATTTCATCTCTCATCAAAAAATTTATTCGGATAATATCTATAATAGCTTATGATGAAAGCGTTGAATTAAGGCCACCAATTAAAAATTCCGAAATTAAAGAAGATCAATGGTTAGGTGTCAATGTAAAATCACAAGGATTAGGTAGTAAGGTAAGTTAAAAATTTTAATTTATAGCTTAAATGGGTTTCCGTTAATTTAGCCCTTCAATAACTCTAACTTGTTTGAAAAATTGTATACTGCAAGCACTTAAAATATAGATCCTTGAACGATCTGTTCGAGGATCTATATCTACAGTATCGATTGTAATAATGTGCATTCAAAATTTTAATTTTCATGACAATTATTTCATTCCCGAAGGTTGACGAAGAAATTTTTTCATACTGTTTAACTTTCAGTGCAGCTTGCATAAATGAAAAGCCCCTCATTTCATTCTAAATCTTTTTTTAAAAAATTCTTTAAAAAATTTTATCTTATAATCCCGCAAATAAATAAATTTTTACTATTTTTCTTTTTTATTTATCGAATAATATCTAGCGAATTTTTATTTTTTTCAATTAAATTCAAATATATCTCATTTTTTAAATGTTTTAGCCCCTAAAAACTAAATAATAAAGTGTTGTCAATTAAACTGAGGAAGAACAATTAGTAATATATAAAAATATTCGCGAAGAAATAAGAAAATCTAATTCCCTAACGACCACCATAATTAAAAACAAATTTTATTTAAAATAAAATTAAAATAAAATAAGAAATTTTTTTAAGAAAAAAAAATAAATCATAAAATTTGATTGAACTAGACTATAAGATACGAGCATATGAATAGAAGAAACACTATTAGACAGTAATAGAGAACTATCAATAATGCTAAGCAGTTTAATGTTCTACTTTCACCCTCAAGTTTAAAAGGTGTATTTCAACTATAATTGTAATTCATCGAACGATCTATCATTTCGGAATTGTGCATATCATTTCGAAATAACAGTTCAGTATTAACACCATTAACAAATAAATGTGTAATACTTGTTAAAGAGATATAGGAAAATGTGTAACAAGAAATTTAAATGGCTAGCGGCCGAATTATAGTAGGCAAACGATTTTTTTTTCTATATAAAATATTTTGTGAGCACAAGAAGTGGTGAAAATTTAAGTTCATCAAGAGAAAAACCCTTTCATAATTTTCTGTTCCTGGTATATCTTGCACATCTGGTATAATTTATGTTACTATATATATACAACATTGAAGTCGTTCAAAGCTTGCACTATTTACTATTAAATTTATCGTGTTCACATTAAATTTAGTTTAAAAAAACTCTTTAGAAATTGCCTTAATCTATTCAAAATTTATTTGTAGTTTTCTTATGTAAATCGTCGTATAATATAAACAATATTGCAAACGAAAACTCAGTTAGATAACAAAATTCCTCAAGAAATTTATACACATGAACATGTTTACATACATAATGGTATATGTAAATCATAATAAAGTAAAAATGTTAACAACACAGGCTTTTCCGACAATAAAATTTTATTTTGAATTTAATTGAAAAAATTGAAAACAAATTTTAACTTCATTTAATTTTTATCTTAACAAAAATAATAAAAAAATTACAATAATCTTAAAAAAAAACATTCAATTTTTGATCGTTTCTTTATTCTTATTATCACAATCATTTTGGCGATTTGAAAGCGGTTGAAAATTAAAGATGCGGGTTCGTTGGTTAAAATTATTTTGAATAATTTCTTATATAAATCTAATGTGCGTCTTCATTTTATTTTGTCTGGTTACAAGAAGAGTTAAAAAGATCATTTAAAAACAATTTGTGTTTTTTGTAGATTAATAAAAATTTTTATAATTTATTGAATTTCAATAATTTATTATCAATATAATAATTTTTTTCACATGGATTTATTATATTTTGAGTTTCATTTTTTAACATTATAAAAAAAAATAATGTTTTTATGTTGTAAAATATTGTTTATTAGTAAATTTAAATTAAATTTTTTTTTTATAATTTTAGGTTTTAGTTTGTGCCCATCGTTATATTGTTAAAGAAGGTGAAAATCAATATGGACGTGGTTTATGTTATGTACTTACAAATGATTTAAAATTTGATGATTCTTATGAACCATGTAAAGGAAAGCCAGTTCATGGGTAAGACCAAAAGGAAATCAAATAATTAATGGAAAAGATGTGATATTAGGGGGTGGAAAATAAAAATTTAATGTGTTTAAATTATAATTTAAAACAGTTTCTTTCTCAAAATTAGTTTTAAAGAACGTGATTTAAAATCAGATCATTTTACGAAAACTTAATAACACTTAAATTTTAAAAGAAAAAAAGATTATTTATTCACACATTCACACTTTCTTCGCATGTTTTTTAACACTTAAGAAAGCTACGGTGTCTAGTATACGCCGGAAGATATTGTATTATGTTTAATTTATGACTGTGGCAACTATGACCTGGCAATTTTTTTTTCAATTTAGTGACTAATTAGTAATTTCTGTAAATGTTTATTTTTTTTTTTAAATATTTTTGTGTTTTTGTAAATTTTTAGAGAAAATTATTAATACGGGCTCCGCCCGACTTAATTTTCCTGGCAACATAACAGATATATAGCTTACACTCTTACAAATTCTGTACCACAATAACACTTGATTCCAGCTCTAAGCATTTTATATCATCATCTTTTGGATATACAGCTCCGGGTGAGCCTTGACCTTGTTCACAATTTTTCGCCAAACTTAAATATATTCATAACCTAAATAATTAAAATGCTGGCCACTCTAACTCTCATCCTTTTTTTTCATTATACTTATAAACTATAAAAATGTCAGATCCTCTGTTTCTTTAAAAAAAATTTGCAAAATTATATGGCAGAAAGAAGTGAGAATAAAAATATTTTTGACTTTTATACCTGTTGACCACACCTTGAGAAAAGAAAAAATTTATAAAAGCGATAATCCTTTGTCTGAAAACTTTTATAAATAACCAAATACACTTAACATCAGCAGAATACTTATTTTAAAATTCCAATGAATCCTTCGTATTCTCTTTCATTTATTATTTATTCGTTATAATTGTGAATATTCTGCTGACAGCTCATCAAAATTAAATTTAGCTTCCATTCACCTTTCATAAATAGAATTTTTATTGCGCGATAAAAAAAAATTATAATATGTAATATGCTTTAAGCTATCATCTCCGAAAGTAAAAAAATTATTCAAAATAAAATGTGCTAAAGCGAAAGAATTACGCTGATCTTACCGATTTTCCAGTTGTATTCCAATTCTTCATAGTTATTTAATTCAATCAGTTATTTACTAATGAAAATTTATAATTTTATGTTTGTTTCCAGTTTACATGAAGCTTATGGATTTTGTCAAGTTGGAACTTCAGCCGCACTATTGGAAAATGAAATGATTTTAGGTACACCAGGTCCATATACATGGCGTGGTACAGTTTTCGTTACGGAAATTGCTGGAGAATATTTGGAACGAAACAAAGCATTCTATTATGCCCCACAGTATTTTAATTCACCGGTTGATAAATACAGTTACTTGGGGATGGGTGTTACAGGTGGAAAATATTTTGGCAATAATATGTCTTATGCTGCTGGGGCACCACGTTCTGAAGGTCATGGTCAAGTTATAATATTTAATAAAAATACTGGTGAAACAGCAAGTTCTGTATTACCACCAAAGCAAATTATAGATGGTGAACAATTTGGTTCAAGTTTCGGTTACGAACTAATTACAGCTGATATAAATGGTGATGGTGAACCGGATTTATTAGTAGCTGCTCCATTTTATTTCAATAAATCTACTGGTGGTGCTGTATACGTTTATCAAAATGATAAATTAAGTTTACCCGATACACCAACATTGAAATTAACTGGTGCTGCCGAAAGTCGTTTTGGAATTGCTATGGCAAATATGGGAGATATTAATAAAGATCGATGTGATGATATTGCAATTGGAGCCCCATATGAAGGGAATGGTGTAGTTTATATATTTTTGGGTAACCCACAAGGATTATCAAAAAAACCGAGTCAAGTAAGATATATTAACTTTTAATATTGTGTGATTTAATTAACTAAAAACACTATAAATAAATATATCATATCTTTTAAGGTTATACATGCTGCCGATTTGGGTCCATTAGGAAGAAGTCTTAGAACTTTTGGTAGTTCGTTAGCAGCTGGAAGTGATCTTGATGACAATTCTTACCCTGATTTGGTAGTTGGTGCTTATGGATCATCAGCCGTCATAGCCTTATTTACACGACCAATCATTAATATTCAAACGAAGGCTCGCGGTAATGAATTAAAAAACATTGATCCAAGTAAATCTGGATGTTCAACTGATCGAAACACAAATTTAACTTGGTAAAACATATCTCATTAAAAAAAATATTTTAATTCAAAATATTTGAATTACAGTTTCACATTTGAAGCCTGTTGCCTAATTGCATCATATGAAGAACACATTTCTAATACCAAGTCTAAAGAACTTACTCTTTTATATACAATTGAGGCAGAAACGTATACAAACGTAAAGAAATTTTCTAGAGTTTTCTTTGATAATGAAAAGAAACGAAGTAATGTTGTTAAACGGCAAATAATGGTTAAGCCAAATAGTCGACAGTCGTGCTACAAAGAAACCGCATATATCAAAGAAAATACAAAAGACATACAAAGTTCTATAAAGTTTCGTTTAAATTTTACGATTGTTGAACAAGAGTTGCAGAGTTCAGCTTTAATTGGCCTAAATCCTATTCTTAATAAAGAACAGTCAGCTGTTGAATTCGAGGGTACGTTCCAAAAGGATTGTGGTTATGATAATGTTTGTCAAAGCCAATTGGTTATGCAAACAGAGGTAGATTTAGAGATGACAAGTAAGTTTTTTTTACTAAATAATTTCAAGAATATAATAATATAATTGTAATTTAAAATATTTTATTTAAGGAGACGAATATGAGCTTGTGCTGGGAGAAAGCGAAGAATTTAAAATTAATGTTAATATCACTAATTTAGCTGATTCTGCGTATGAGGCTCAATTATTTTTCGTACATCAAAAAAGTATCACATATATAGCTGCTAGTAAAACTGTAAGTGTTCTTTAAATAAATCTAATAACAAGATTTAAAGTAACGGTTGTTTCTTGCAGAATTCGGTTATATGCAACCGTTATAATGAAACAATTGTTTCATGTAGTTTAGGAAATCCATTAAAACGTGACAGTGTTGTACAAGTTTCGATACGATTTGATCCCAATGCTATTGACGATGATATTAAAAAATTAAACTTCCAAGTTTTCGCAAATTCAACTTCACAATTGATTGGAGAACTTCCAAAAGCTTCTATAGACATCAATGTAGTCAAAAAAGCGAGCTTGGGAATCGGAGGGTATATTTAAAAATATTTTGAGTGAAGTTTCAATTTAATTAATTTTTATATTATTACTAAAATTTACAGCTGGGCACGTCCTGAACAGGCATTCTATGGTGGTGAAGTTAAGGGTGAAAGTGCAATGGTATATATGGAAGACGTCGGTACATCTATAACACATACATATCAAGTATACAACGAAGGTCCGTGGAAAGCAACGAATGTTACAGTACATATAAGTTGGCCACATCAAGTTGCAAATGACAAGCCACAGGGAAAATGGTTACTTTATTTAGAAAGTCAACCTATAGTTGAAAGTAATTACGTTATAAAATATTTATAATTAAATAAAATTTAATTTGGTTTTTTCTAGGTCTCCACCAAAGTAAATGTAGCGTTGTCAATTCAAATGATATTAATCCATTAAAATTAAAAATGTCTGAAGTTAATCATTTCGATGGCGATACCTTACCACCAGAATCGTTTATGTTGCATCCAAATAGAAGCGGGGCTTCTTATACATATACAGGACAACGATCTTTTGTTAGCAGCAAAAAAGTAACTTCTACCTCAGATGAAAAAATTCATAGCTTTAATAGCGAAGCTCATTTAAATCGAGTAAAAAGAGATCGAGCAAAAATTATACGACCAGAACATCTTTATGATAAAGATGGTAAGAAACATGATGTGGTTATAATGGATTGTGAAAAAAATACAGCAAAGTGTATACATATCCGATGTGATTTATTTAACATGCCACAAAAAACTGAAGCATATATACATGTAAAAGCAAGACTTTGGAATTCGACACTAGTTTCGGATTATCCTAGAGTTGATTTAGTAAAAATTGTGTCAAGAGCCAGAATTATTATACCAAAAGAGGCTTTTATCGAACAAATTGGTGATAAAACTCGAATACAGGTATTTTTTATATAGTTATTTTATGAAAGTGCTTTTAAATATACCTAAAATATTTTAGTTGGAAACTAAAGCCTATCCTGAGTTATTGGATCAAGTGCGAGATAGCTCGACACCTTGGTGGATTATTGCAGTTTCGGTAGCATGTGGTATATTATTATTAATATTATTAGCAGCAGTAATGTATCGTTGTGGTTTCTTCAAGAGACGAAGACCAGATCCAACATTAAGCGGGAATATTGAAAAAAGTAGTGAACATAAACCATTTTTAGGAGATAAATAGCTGTTTTTTTAAAACTGTTTTAAAAATATTTGAATAAATTGTCAAAAAAAGGAAAAATCGATTGGATCGATTTTTTTATAATACTTTGACTAAATTGTAAATTAAATTCGATTCGCATTGGTATGGTTATTCAATTTATGATGTAATAGAAAATTCAATTTATATAATTTTGATCTCGGCATTTATAAAATCAAGCAACTCTAAATCCTATTTCTATTCCTAAAAATGAAATAATTTATAGATTTGTAAAATTATTTGACTATTCTAATTTAAGACTATCCAACATTTTAACATTTCTGATTCAAATTTTAGATTTAACTAAATTTCTAAAATAGAAAATTAAATATATAATTTAATAACTACATAGAAATGAGTCACAATTATAAATTTACAATTATACTAAAAAACCATACCATTTTGGCGATAAATGTTTATCCTTTAAAATTCAGTGTAAAATAACAAACTGTTTTTTTTTTTTTTCTGAGAAAAAGAATAAATCTTACTAAATTATTTTATGTGTTATATAATTTAGAGATAAGTTTATAAATTATTAAAATATCGAGCTATATTATTATTGGTGCTCATTTAAAATGTTTTTGTATAATATGTGTATTTCATCATTATTTTAAAACATTATTTGCATATTTGAATGTTAAAATAAAATTAAGTTTCCATATTTCTTGGAAGGCATTCCAGTTTGGGAAATTTATGAATAATTATTATATTAGTCACACATTTAAACTCTAATAAGTTACAATAGTCTTTTTAAGATTTATATAACTCAATGTCAAAAAAATTTACTGAATTTGAAATAATTCAGATACACCAATTTTTATATTTTGTATATTACAGTGCCATTACGTAGTAATTTTAACTCATAAATTTATCTTAAATTAAAATGAAATACAATATAATTATGAAATATATGTAAATTTTATATGTAAGTTAATAAATGTTAGAATGAATGCGCTTAATGTGAATATTTTACGTTAGACTTAAAGAATTCATTTTCTTACAACTTTTAATAATTGTATTACATATTTAGAATTTAGTTAATTCTTTTCTCTATAAAACTATATGTTTTTTGCTTTTTTTCTGTATTGAAAAAATTAAATAAATAGTACTTTACATAAAAACAATTTTGTGCATTTAAAATGTAGTACGAAAAATTAAAAAATCAAATTTTGTTCAACAAGAAAACTCTTTTTAAAGTACAAAACTCCAACACAAAAATATTTTGCTTTTTATAATAAATAATTATGTTTTAGACAAAACACAGGAAAAGAAATTTAAAATAATATTTAATAAAATTTACAAATTATTGACAATTAATTTACTGCATAAGAAACTTTGACTCTTCATAATTAACATCTACATTTTAATAATAAATTTTTATATTTGAAAATTCTCAATTATGCAAATAATGTTTTTAAGATACATTAATAATTACATATATGTATTTACAAAGATAATTAAACAAAGTGTCTTTCTAAAAGTGTGATAAATTATAAAAGAAAAAAATAAAAAAAAATTTTTTTTTTTATTTTAAAATTCTGTAATCAATCAAAGTTTATTGAAATATAAATTAAATTATGAATGTATATTAAATTCATAATAAAACTACATAATTGTAGAAATTTATTTATTATTATTAAGGAAATATGATCGCACTTTACTTACATTAAATACATAAAAACATAATTTAAGCACAAATATTTATTAGTAATGTTTAAATAAATAAAAAAAAAATAGATGAAAATTTGAATTATATTAAATATCCTAATATCATAATAGATCTAATCGAAAAAACAATTAATATATATATAATTTTATAAAAAAAAACCGCTTCGTTTATAAAATTTATAAAATTTTCGAATTTCTTTTAAGTATTACAAATTTATTCAACAAAATCATGTCGTTTAAAGTAAAGAATCAAAATAGATTTTTAATTATATTTTCAATAATATGCAAACATCTTGATTTAAATTCATCTAATCATCCATAGAATAAAAATGATGATGCATATTTTTCATGTGTACTCATTTCGAAAAATTAAATTCTTAACAAGCGGTTGGCGTTTTCGATTAAGTCTCGTTATTTATAGAAAAATTGAATTTGTAAATAAATTTTATTAAATATTTTATTTAAATATTAAAAAAAATATAAAATTTAATTATTTATGAAGATTTTTTTATGAATTTAGGGAAACACTTAAATGCGTATCTAACGTCAATGTGATGTATTCAATACTTAAAATTGTAGCGTAGAATAAGTCAAATTGACGTCAGATTTACATTAAATTACAACAACTAACGTAGTACTTACTAAATAGTACTATGGTATAATGCTAAATAGATCTACTGATAGAACCTTTTTGATTACATCTTTTAGGAGGTGTATAATATTTATTAAAAAATTGAGAAACCATTTAAAAGCTAGTTTTTGTTCTTAATTGTATTATATGTACAACATATGAAGAAAATTTCAATAAATTCAAGAAAAAAAAACGAGGAAACAAATAAAAAATGTTATGTATAAGATTTACTTAACCATACTTCAATTATGTAAAAATTATTAAAAAAATATTGTTTTAGGATAATAAGTTAAATGAAAAAAAAAAAAATGGATAATTCAAGAACTAGTTATTATTATTTTATAGCTTGCCATTCCATCTATATACATATGATGTATTAATAAAATTAATTCATTTTCATATACTTAATTATATTATAATAAAAATATTATAGTTTGCTGAAAATTTTTATTTCGATTTCAACAAATATTTTATGTATTATTTATTTAAATATGTATATTCAATCCTTGAAAAACCAAGTTGAGTTGAAATTGATTTTAGTCCAAAAATTAAATTATTTGTAAAAGAAATTTTTAAACTAAAGCAAAGCGATTAGTTTGTTTTAAGCCCCAGTTTTAAACAAAAATTAAATAAATAAATAAAAAGTAAACTTGTCACGTTTTCGAAAATAAATTTTTACTTGATAATCTAAAAACAAAGAACTTGCTAAAATTAATATGTTTAAAATTATACAAAAGAAAATAAATAAAATATACTGCCGTACTTTATATAGCATCATATTAATAAGAAAATACATTTCTTTCATTATATAATTTACAAAATATTTTAATAATTTCTGCACATAATAAAAATAATTACAAATTTTAAGAGAAAAAATTAATCATTACTTATTATAGTTAATGTCATGCCATAATAGCATTGTTTAAAAATTAATATTAAATTTTGTTAATAAATTTTGAAATAAAAAGATATATAAAATATTAAAAATGTAAAAATATAGATTTTTAATTATTTAGCTTAAAAATAAAAAACTTAATGTTTACAAGTATATATGTAAAAATATATAAATAATTAACTTTAATTTAATAATACAATAACATAAGTATAAAAAATAATAAACATAAATAATATTATATTTTAATGTATATTTATATATAAAATATGTAAATATATATAAAAATATATATTTAAAATATAATTAATACGTAAATAAGTACTTATGTATGTATTATGTTGAAAAAAGAAAAGAAGGAAATTTAATGTAATATGTAATGTACCTTAAGATTGTATATAAAAATATAATATTGTTCTTAATAATAATTTTTAAATTGTATTTTGTATTTTTTTTTTTTTTAGTAAGAAATAAATTTATTATGAAAATAATGATCGTTTATAATTTTTCTTTAATCACTAATTAATTAATATTTAAATTTAATTTATTTACAATTATATTTTTCATTTTTACAATTTAAATAAGTTGTGTATTTATAATACTTGATTTCAATTTAATTTCAAGTTATTGATTTGAAGTCATTGATCCGAAAAGTTTACGTTTTCTTAATGAAACATAAAACGCCTCTTTTTAATATTGTTTTTCTTTAAATTAAAAAAAAAATTAATTCTCTTAAATTCAGTGCAAATGTTCTTGTTAAAATTTAATGCTTTAAATACGCAATTCAAAAGTCAAATTACTTGCACACTTTATGCATTTCTAATTGCCAAAATTTCGGATAATCAATTTTTGATTTTCACCCAAAACTCAAAAAATTTTTTCCTTTTCACAAAAGCGTTTTAAACAAATTTAAATTAATAAACTTTTACGATTGCAATTATTTAATATCAAAAGAGAAACTAGTTTTTTAAAGCATGCCTTTAAAGCATTCTTCATAGTATACTAAAAAAATTCATTCGTAAAACAAAAATTAAATGTACAATAATAATATAAAATAAAAAAAAGAAAATCAATTCGGAATATGTAAATTGCTTATAATTAATTCTTTGAAAATTAAAAACCGAAAAAAATTTCAAAAATAAAAGCCATTTTTATATTTTTAATTTAAATAATTGAAGGTTTACAAAAGAAAAAAACAATTTATATTATTTAGTCACTATTCGAATATTGGTACTTGAACTTTATTATTTAAAATCGGATAAACCTGAATTTTTTAAAAACGCGTATAAAATAAATATTATTTTAATTAATTTACTTATTTATATTAACAAAAATTTATTTTAAAAATAGCAAAAAAAATATTAAAAATAGTGTTAATATAGAAAAGCATATAAAATTAAAAAAAAATTAAAAAAACAAATTTAAAGAACACAATTTTTTTTGACTTAATAAGCCACAAATACAATAATTAATTATGGCTTTGGTGTTTAGAGCACTATACCAATTTTATTTTGATTATGTAGAAGGAAAAAAAGGTAAAATTTTATAAAATTTACGATTTATTGTTCAAAAAGTGAAGAGGTTTACAAATCCTAGTGCAACAATTTATAATTTTAAAAGGGATAAAATTTCAAAATCCTAAATGAATTTTTTGAAACTCACAATTTATTTATTCAATTATATTATTTCTGTTGTTGGCAGGTTGTGAAAACAAATTTTTTAATTCACCATTTTGGATATTTTTAATTTCCTTAAATTATTTTTTTGTTTTATTTTACCTATTAAACTATCAATGATTGTGTCATTGTTCTATTAATTAATTATGTAAAAAAATACGATTATATTAGCTAGGTATATTAATATAATTGAAATTTTATATTTGCAACTTAAAATGTCTTAAATATGTGAATAAAAAGTTAGCTACAAAAAATTTTGTATGAAGGCCAAATAAGGGAAATTTTAATTATCATTCACCAAAATTTTATATTAGAAAAAAAAATCAAAAATTTTCATAAACGCAATACTGCAAAACAATAAATGCGGAACAAAGTACTGCATGCAACATATTTTTAAGTGTTCTACAAAATCAAAACGGTTAATATGATTTATTTACGGTTCATATGTTTATTTCACTATATTGCAAAAAATTAACCATGTTTATGAACACCTTAAGTTAGCAATATTTTGTTTATAACGCAGTTTTCATTGAATATCGCAGTATACTGCATTTATGAAAAGGCCTATCAATTATTGAAAAAGATCTACATGATAATTTGTGTAGAATACTTAGGATTCTTCAAGAAGTACTCAGGATTATGAATTTAAATAAATTTATTAAATATTAAATGGTTATTTATTAATTATCATTAAGTTTGAAATTAATTCGCGCTATTCTATTTAATTAATTACATACATATTATGCATGCTACATTTAAATACAAGTATATAAAGTAATATTTTTCAAACGTCATAAAATTTTCGAAATTTATTCTAATTTTACAAAAGTTCAAAAACCAAAAGTAAAAAAAAAAAAAAAAATTCATTCAAATTTTATTATGAACGTGTGTTTATTGTACATATACTAAAATTAATTTAATCCACAAAATAATAAAAATGGAAAAAAGAATATTAAATTTTTATTAATGAGTATTTGTATATGCACATGTGTATTTATTTATATGCGCATGCAAGTTCAATTGCAAAAGTTTATATACCCCTGGTCCAAGACTTTTTTTTTTGTTTTTGGTCATTCTTCTATTTTAAAGTCAATGAATAATTTCGTATGCAATATAATGCAAATTAAGTAATTTGAAACACAAAAAATTTTATGAAAACGGAAAATGTATACGTAAATTTTTATTTTTATTAAATTTATTATGAAATAAACATTTAATACAGGTGCCTTTTCTCTTCGAATTAATTATTAATTAAATTCAAAATATTATAAAAGAGTATAAAACAACATTGTCAATATTTTATAGATAATAGAGAAGTTTTCTGAAGTACTCGTATAAAATTATTTTATTAGAACCTTTATTAATTTATTAGAGAATAATAATGCACTTGTTATACCTACCAATAATTTTTATCTACATAATTAAATTGAAATTGTTTAAAGCAATTATAGTACAGGAACATGTTTGATGTCATCTAAAACTAGTCCACTTTATTAGGCTTAACAACTAAAACAAAAATAGGCCCAGTTCATATAAAATTATAAATTAATTTTAAAATTCATTTACAAACCTTTGATATATGTTTGTATAGATGTAAAAAAAATTCCAATGTTTTGTTTAGGTATAAAGTTCAATAAATTTTATTATTTTTAAATCAATAAGGTCATTCAACTTTTGCTATAAATGTGTGGAAAACAAAACCTCCTAAAATTAAAGTAAATTTAAAATTAATAGTCACATTTAATTTCTTTTTATATTATTTTACCATAATTATATTACCAGATAATTTCAAAAGCAATGAATTATACCAGAATCCAAAGAGAAAGCTTGAAAAATGTAATTTGCCCTTCTGAGTTATGTCTTTGATTGGGTTATTAATATTTTTACTTCCTAACGGCCATATTATTATTTTTGTAATATAATAAAATAATAACTTGTATAAAACTTGTATAAATTATAATTTAATTAAATAATTTTCTTATAAATTGCAGATCCTCGAATAGATCACTATCCACTATTAGGATCACCAATAAAAATTATAACAGTTTTAGGATTATATTTATATTTTGTAAGTAGTTATGGCAGAAAATTCATGGAAAATCGACAACCATTTGAACTAAATAAAATAATGACAATATATAATGCGATACAAGTCATAATAAATGGAATTTATTCGATGGTAGTAAGTATATAATAATAAAATAATCGAATTTATTCATACATTACTAAATTTTACTAAATTTTCGATTCTTTTTTTTTTAAGGCAATACATGCTATATTCTTTTATTATGATTATAGTAAAGAATGGAGAAATTATTGTGCACCACCAGATTATAGTTATACTGAAAAAGGATATTTTGAAGCTAGAATGACATATATTTATTTTTTATTTAAAATTTTAGATCTATTGGATACAATATTTTTTGTATTAAGAAAACGTTATAAGCAAATAACATTTTTACATGTATACCATCATTTGGGTATTTGTTTTGGTGTATGGATTGGTGTACGTTATTGTCCTGGTGGTCATACTGGAATATTAGGTTTAATTAATTGTATTGTACATACAATTATGTATTTTTATTATTTTTTAACAGCATTTAAACCAGAATTAAAAAAATCATTATGGTGGAAAAAATATATAACAATAATTCAAATGACACAATTCAGTTTTCTTATATTACATTTTAGTATACCAATAATAAGGGGTAATTGTGGTTATCCTTTTTTCTGGTTAATGGTCTTAGTAATACAAAATACATTTATGTTAATATTATTTTCTGATTTTTATATAAGAGCCTATGTTATTAATAAAAATAATGATAAGAAAATAAAAGAAAATTAAATTTAAAAAAAAAATCGATTTGTGTTTTTGAAAATATTTATAACTAAATATGCATTAAATATTTATTTGCCAAAAAAAGGCATTGGAGATTTGATTGTGTATAACAAAATTCCGTTTTGATAGTCATTGAAATTATATTTCCAAATTAATATAACAGGTTATAACAGAATAAAATCTGGAAAATTTTTAATTGAAAACGATCTGTTGAATCAAATTGAAAGCTGTTCCCATTACTGTATGCAAATTTTGAAATTCACTGCATGACAACAGATTGTAGTATTTTCACTATTCGAACTCAAAAGTGAATCATTTATGATCAACCATGGACCTATCAAAAATAATTCCCATAAAATCAAAAACCAATTTAATTTTAAAAAGAAATTTTTTTAATTTTCTAACGTGATGACATTAATTTCGTATTAAATCAGGAAATGCGCTTGTAAAATTATTTTGATTATATTAAGTTTACTGTTTGATCAAATCATTTTTCTATTATTTTAAAAATTTTTTTTTTTTTATTTCTCCAAAACGTATGCAAGAATACATTTAAACTTGTGTTATATTTTTTTATTAAAATTTTTCTAAGAATATTTTCTCCTAAAAGTATGAAATTTATATGATGTAATTCTGTTATTTTTTAAAGCAAAGATTCATTATAATTATATACTTTTGCCGTTGCAAATTATGTATGCATGCGCATTTTCCGAAAATAAGAAATCAATTCAATCCATTATTAATAATTAACATAAAGTGTATTAACGATTAACATTAATATACAAGCACTGTCATAAATATAATTTCTCCATTAACTTATTTCCAAATGTAACAAAAATTTCATTTTCATTTCGATATTTAAAAATTTTAATGTCCCATCTTGATAATCACGTGTAGTGTTCTTTGATAACAATAATTATATTAGCTTAGTATGTATTGTTCAAAGCAAGAAAACGGCGAATTACTGACTGATGTAATAAAGTTTCGTCATTATTTTATTTCAAGTTGAAATGATTAACTTGAGATAAAAGCTTCTTAAATATGTGCAAATAAATATAAGTAAACAAATTATAATCTATGTATATATGTTATATATTACTATTATACATATTTTCGACATCATTATGTCAATTATAAATTTATATTCATTCATCCACACAAATGAACTTTATACCGCTTTTAGCTTTCATAAATATAAAAATATTATTCAACAGTGTTTCTAAGCGGTTTGACGTAATAAAAAAATGCTTTGCAATATTGTTACATGTATGTATATACATATGTATATAGAGAATATAATAAGCTTATATATATATGAACAGTTTACGTACATAACAAACATAGATGAATTAAATATAAAAAACACAATGACATTAAACTTGTAAAAAATTTTTTTTAACAATATTCACTGTCATTGTCATTTTCTTTATGTATTATACACAAATTTTTATACTTACACAATTGTTATAATATAGACATATGTATATATTTCGCTTTGCGAAAAATCAGAGATATTGTACTATTATATACATGCCTACAGAAAATAAGTATCTGTCTGTCTAGAATCTAGATATATAGAGGAAAAAAGCTATGTATTTATGATACATAATTAATTTTATTTTTATTTTTTGTTTTGTTTTTCTTTTAGAATTACATATTCAAAAATGTTTATAAAAATTAAATAATAATTTAATAATATTATAAGAAAGTTGCGTTGCGGTGATTTAGTTAAAGTACGATCGTCATTTCGGAAGCATTCATTTAATTTTATAAAATTTTTTTGTTCTTTTTTTTTTTTAATTTATATTTATTAAATTAAAGAAAGTATTAATTAAAGGTAAAATATTAATTAAAAATGTGGTGTTAATATTTTTTTTAAGATTTTGTTTTGTACATTAATATTTTCGTTATATACGTAAAATATTTTGTTATAATCGAAATAATTAAAAATAAAGTGAACGAGTTCAATTAATGTGTACCTATATGTGTACGGAAATTTTAATTATTAATCATTTATTTTCAATAATAATTTATTTTAATGTAGGTGTTACCGTTCTTAATAAATCTTAGTAATATTTACATACTTAACGTTAACATCGTAATTATTAAAATATTTAGTGTTATATTATAAAGTTATTTAATAATGACGTAGCTCTTTGAAATAAAATTTTTTTTTTGGTCAAATTCGTACATAAATATGTATATACATATATGTTAAACAAAAAATTTGCTTATTTAATTTTAATTTCTGCGAATTTTATTACTGTATAATCTCATTTATATAAAAATAGTTTATTTATTATTAATATATATGTATATGTATATATATACCTTTAGTATATAATGAGAAAATTTGGCATATTTATTATGAAATTTAAATGTGTTCAGTTTAGTGTGTTTATTTTTTAATATATACACCTATTATTAGCAGAAATTAAAAAGTGAATAAAAAATATTTTATTAGAAATAAGAATTTAAAAAAAAAAAATTTTTTTTTTTTTAAAATGTCCTTGAATAACAGTTAGAATATAAATAAATACGTCAATTCTATAAAAAAAAAAACAAAATATAAAATAAAATTAAAGAAAAATATTTTTATGAATTATAATATTTATTGTGTGTGTGTGTGTGTGTGTTTAAACAATAAATACTTAACACAAAGTATATATTGCACGGTGTAATGCAATTGCATATTGTACCGTTATTTATAAATACATATAAAGATGTATATTATGAGTTTGTGTGAAAGAATTTCTATGTTTGTATGTTTATGAGAAAAATTTAAATATAAAAGCTTTGTTTCTTTATGCAAAGAATATTTTATACAATAATAAACTTTGATTAAATATTAAATAATTTGATTAAATATTAAATAATAAAAAATTTGCATGAATTGCATGTTTACCTACAAATAAAGTTTATTTTGTTATATATATACATTACATTAAATAATAATTATTGTTATATAGTTTTGATAAAGATTATTTACATAATTTGAAAAGTGTAATAACAATATTTATTTATTTTTCTTTCTTAACATTATCAGAATAAATAAAGCTTACAATTTTAAATATTTTAATAATTCAGTTGTTCTATTCAGTTTATTTATTTTGATTTTGTTTAATAATAAATAATTATCATATTCATTAATAATATTATTAATATGTATAGATATATGTATATATGTATGCATGTGTGTAAACTATTTTGTGACATGAACAGGAAAAAATGCCCATTTTGGGTAATTAAAAATATTATAAATTTATTTACAATGTGAGAAAAAAAAAAACGGTGACATTTGGTAAAAATTTAAAATACTTTTATACGATATTGAAAAGTACGGGTATTAAAATTAAAAAAAAAATTCGGGATTTACCCAGTATTATAACAGTTTCTACTAAAACATTAAAATATAAAATTTGGGATTTTCTTTTTTAATGTAAACCTTAAACTTTGTAAATTCAAAGTTATTTGTACGTGTATTTTCATATTTTTACAACCAAAAACTTTTGATAACATAAGTCGGTATAACATCAATTTAACTTATTTTGCTATTAATTATAATAATTGGATCCGTTTTAGATCAAACTTGTCTGAAATATTCGATTGTTCTTTTTTTTTTAGAAATTAGAGAAAAAATATTTCTAGACCAATAGAAATCCCGATGAAGCACACTGTGTTTATTATTTAAGAATTATTTATAAGAAAATTGATATACATAATAATTATTGAATCGAAGCCACATAAGCACTTTTTATTTCAAAAATTATTGCATATTAAAAATTTAAAATATCGATGGCAAGCATAATAATCACACTAGTCGTCCAATTTTGCAAAAGTATATTTGCAATTTTAATTTAAAAAAATTTGTAAAACGCATTTGAGTTTTTTAGAATTTTTAAAAGTTGAGATTTCAACAAAAAAATTTAATAAAATTTATTGCCCAAGTACTTCTATTAAAACATATTTCGTATTGGTAAGATTTTGGATTCATTTATTTAATATTTATTTTAATAATTATAATTAAAATTTTATGCTATTTGAAAATCAGCAGACAAGCAGATACATACATGCATATACATAAAAATAAATATAATTATAACGGTGCTTATTTACAAATATTAATTTTAAATATACATATATAATATATACTACATATATATATATACTATCTATTATATACTATATTATATATATACATATATATATAATATAGTAATATATAATATAGTATATAATAAAATATATATATATAGTAAATAATATAATATATATATATATATATATATATATATATATATATTCCTATACACATTTACATAATATATATATATCCATATCTTGTTCCAATATATACATTGTTTAAAAATTATTTATTATTTTTAAAAGTGTTAAAACAATTGTTAAGTAGGCGAAGAATTACGAAACACCTATAAAAATTATTGATTTTCGGCCAAAAATATTACCGTTATGGAAATGGTTTTTTCAACCAAAATCAAAAATTACGCTTTATTTGCAAAATTAAATTCAAATTTGTTGTATACTAGCATATAATAACCAATACCTATAAAGTATTTTCAAAATTTTCCTTTCCTCATATTCTTATTATTTAGCATGAAAATGAAGATCAGAAGAGCAGGTTTTATTTGACACTACATGATTAAAAAAATAGTTACATATGATTAAATGAATAAACGGTAGATGAAAATTAAATTTGAAAACTAATTTTGATTTCGCCTTTAAATATTTTGTGCACTTAATTTTTTTTTTTTATTTAATTTCAATAGAGAGAGAGATGAGATTTTGTACAGTTTTCTAGTATCTGTATAATAGCTTCTACTGAGCTTTAATAAAAATTGAAAAAAAACAGCGGATGATAAAAGTGGCAAAAGTTGGTTAGAATTATTTCTTATTTCCTTTTAAAATATATTGTGGATACCATCTTGTTTTAGGAATCGAATTTCGAATACCCTGTATTTTTATATCTAAATGTGTTAGTAGCACTATACACACATATATAAATAAAAAATTAAATGTAATACATAATTATTGACTTTGAACTTTAACCTATTCAAAAAGAAGATGAAAAATTATTATTAAACGTCATCGGGGAAAAACATAAAATATTTAAAGATAAATAAGAAAATCATAAAAAGATTTGAAAATTTTTTGTAAATTAAAAATTTTCAAGGTTTAAATTATAGCTATAAATAAAATGTTTTGAAATGATCCTTTGAAAAATATCATACAAAAAAACTAAATGGTAGCATCACAAGATTTACTCATCCGTACATATGTATGTGTATTTGGAATAAAAAACTTATTTCGGTAACATGATTAAAAAATTAAGAAAACAATAGGACAGGAAAAACTATTACTTTTATAACAACCCGTTACTGGAAACTTGTTACTGTTACAATTACAAATTGACAAATATGCACTCAATTGAACTCATTCAATTCTCAATTAATTCAATTTTAAATAATATTTTTTTAATAAATTTACATACTTGTGAACAAATAAACAGACTATATGTATATATATATTTTTTTCTTTTCAGTTTAACAAAAAAATTAATTTTTAAGTTAAAATTACATTTATTTACATTTAATGCCAAGATGGCAACAGTTTCAACTGTTTCTATTATGACAAAACTTAGAATTTTACTTGACAAGCATCCATTAATTAAGGGTATGTTATCTTATGGTACTCTATGGCCAACAGCATGTTTTATTCAACAAACAGCAATTGAGGGAAAGAAAATTGGTAAGAAAATATTTTTTTACAATTTACAATTATGTAGAACAATTTATTTAAAAAACTAAAATTTCAATTTCAATTGTCTCAGCTACATTTTTGAATTAATTAAAAAATTGTTTAACTGCAAACATAATATACTAATGTTTTCATTATTCATCTTTCAAATTTTACTATTTTATTATTTTCTATTTTTATTCGTAAGTGTCATGAATGCTTTATGCACATGATTATCAAAAGTAGCTTTGGTCCAACATACATAATGAACACAATTAATCTAACTAGAATAAATTATTATTATGTTAAAAATAAGCTTTCAAATAATTAAACATAGGATATATAGCAATCACTATACATAATATCTGTATAAATACTACCAAATATTTTATACTTGTAGTGTAATGTGCTAACTCTGTTATATTGTTTTGACTTACAAGATGGCATAAATGTTGTAAATACGCATCAAACATAAACTTCTTCCTACTATGGACTATTAATGAAGATTCAAAGAATATTATTTATTAAAATTTGTTTTTTTCTTCTTTCTAGAAAATGTTGATTGGATACGTTGCCTTAAATACTCAATTTATGGTGGATTCTATACAGCACCAACAGTATATGCATGGATTCGTATTGCACAAGCGGTATTTCCAAAAAATACTTTACAAGCTGGAATTCAAAAAGTAATCTATACATAATATTTTCATTAAATTTTATATAAAATTCTATTTTTTAATAAAATATTTAAAAAAAAACTTATTTTGTAGGCTTTCGTAGATCAAATATCATATGGACCATTTGCAATAGCTAGTTTTTATACTGGAATGAGCCTTCTTGAAGGTAAAACATTTGATGAAGCTCTTAAAGAATTACAAACGAAATTTTTTTCAACATGGAAAGTTGGTGCACCAGTATGGTTTACATTACAAACAATTAATTTTGCATATGTACCACAAAAACATCGTGTTGTATATATAAGTTTTTTTAGTTTATTATGGTCAACATTTTTAGCTTATATGAAACAAAGAGAACGTGAACTTTTAATTCAAACTCCAATAGTTTCTAATACAATAGTAAAATGTAATGAAATGCGAAATAAATAAAATTTAATCAATATTTTAAAATAGGTGAAACAGCCTAAAGAATCAATATGAAGAGAATCTTAAAAAAGACAAAAGAAAAAAATTTTACACAAGAAAGATATTACTTAAATATTTTTTTATTTTATTTTAATTTATTTAAGAAAAATACAAAAAAAAAAATTAAAAGTATTTTTAAGGCAAACGTTAAATGTAAAATTGTATTAAATGTTTTGTTTTTAAAACAAATTTCTAAAAGAAAAAAAACCAAATGTATTTATTTTAATTATTTTATTTATATATAATATTTAAGAATATTAATTATAATGTACATATATTTGTGTACCTGTAAACGTTATGTAAATATTTTCAACGCATAAATAGCATAATTAAAAAAATTTCGAAATATTAAAATTTTAATAAAATAATTGTTTACTTTTTATTTATTTTTATGTGTTCAAATTTTATATTGTAAAATAATTATTAATTGTAAAAGTATTAGAGAATTAATTTATCCTAAATCTTAACTGAATAAAAGTGATTTACCTACAGTCCTACACTTACGCTAAATAACTCTTATTACAAATTTTAAATTGTAAATCGATCATCCTTGCCTTACTTATTTTAATTAATATTGATCAACGTCTAATCCGTTGATCATGTAGGTCCGGTATTGAAAAGTAAAAATTTGAAATTACATAATCAATGTAATGTAAAATTAAAAACCACATACCTTTTTCAAGATTTAATGATGAAGTTCTATTTCGTGATAGTTGCCTATTCCTCTTACATTACTGTTTAGCGTTTTCAGAGGCCTGGTATAAAATTTTTGAAAACTTTACACTATTAACTTATGAATTTTTTTTCGACTGAATCATTTTTTCCACCAATTTTATCATAATTTCTTTTATTCAAATCTTCCTCCTCTATACATTTAAAGCACAAATGATTGAATTTGAAAAAATAATATTAAATTTATGTCAATTCAACATTGAAAATAAGAAATGAATTTTATATTTTTAATTTTATTTCCTTAATTATTTGTATTTTTTTTTTTTGAGAAAATGCAAAATTTTAAAATATAAAAACCTTCATTAATGTCAATGACAAAAAATTTAAAATTAGAAATTTATTTTTTTTTTGCTTGTTTTTGTGCATCAGGAAGCTTTTATACAAATTTTTAAGTTTATTTTTTTTACGTACATACGCTCATGTATGTAGATATGTAATTACAATGTTATATTGCACATTAAAGTGCATTTTTATTACAAAAGGAATCAATCAGTTATAATTTGCTTTTAAAAAAGGAAAGTTTAATTAAATTCAACAAAATTTATTTACTTGAATTTTATAATTTTTTTTAATTGTTTAATTGTTATCCTTTTGCCTTTTTCAAATAAATTTAATATATGTAAATTTTTTTAATATAAATTAATTGAGTTTTACTTAAACTGATGAAAACAAATTGTACATTTTATTTAAATAAAATTTAAAATATGAACAAAAGGCTGGTGCTTATATTATACGATATAGTTATTTAATTGGATCTACTTAATTATATACATATATAGAAAGTGAGTTGATATTATACAATAAATTAATGCATGTACATACATAAGTATAATTTTATTTGAAAAAAAGAAATTTTTAATTTTTAATGCTTTTTTTATTTTATAATCAAATTTAAATAAACAATACGTGCATCTGCAAAATCTTTTATATTTGAAAAAAACTGAAAAATTGCATTTTTTAAAATTGATTTCCAAAATATTTTCATTTGAAATTTTAGATATATATATATGTACATATGTATACATCTATATACATAATTGTTGTTACTTTTGTAATTATTTTGATTACGATCTCTAAAAATTAATTTAAAAAATTTGAACACATAAGTACACGTTTTATATTTTTTCTTTTTTATTACCTTAATACTGCCTCTTAAATTGCTCTAAACTCTATTTATATTGTGTACATAAGCAATTCAATTAATTTTTAATAATTTTTCGTTACCTCAGTTTTATAGGATTCTATATTATTAGGTCATCTTATACCCACAATCATAGATTCTTACAATTTTATAATTCTCTAGTATTGAATTTTTAGTTATCGACGGTTTATTGCGAAAACCTTTTGATCAACATAAGAAATATGCATTTAAAAATATTTTTATTGCTAAATTAATAATTTTATATTGCAATATTTTGGAGTATCTTTCTATTAATTTAGAATCTACACATTTGTAATGAATATTTTAAAATTTTTGGGGAATAGAAGAGTTTTTTTCTGATAAACCTTTGACATAACACATAATTATTGTATTTATCTTAAATTTGTAAGAATACAAATAATAATATACATTATGTACAGTCATACTGATTTAGGCTTACATATATTATAATGAAGTATTAAAAAAAGGTTATTATTATTCAAATGATTAAAAATTTTAGTATTTAAATTATATTCCACAATAATTTTGAAAATAAAATTACAATTTTCATTACAATTTACATTAAACTTACTTAAATACTTATATAGACACTAAATGGAAAAATTATTTTAATTGTTTCAAGAAATTATTTGAAAATATTGAAATTTAAATTAAATGTAATTAGTCTGTGCCTCTTACTACCACGTGTCTCTATAATTAGACATTATACATCTTTTTATGTTTTCTCAAAAGCAATGATTTTTAATTCAGAATTTTTTTTTTATAACAATCATTAAAATATAATTTACATGTAAGTAACAACTAACGACCATGATTTTTACAAAGTTCACACTTTTATTAACAAAACGCAGAATATTGTGATCGAACTTCATTCAATTTTACTTAAATTTTTAATATATTTTTTACAGAAATTTTAAAAAATGAACCATATAGTAAAAAATATAAAACAAATAACCACTAAATATCCTGTAACAAGAGGAATGATTACTTATTCAATAACATGGCCAGCTAGTTCATTAATACAGCAAACTATGGAAGGAAAAGGTTGAAATTGCAATCAATTTATTGAAATGTTTTAAAAATAACAAAAAAAAAATTAATAATAAAAATAATTTTAGAAAAATTTGATTGGTGCCGTGTAATGCGTTTTGGTTTATTTGGTGGTTTTTTTGTTGCTCCAACATTATATGGTTGGATTAAAGTAGCATCAGCTATGTATCCTGGAACAAATTTAAAAATTGCAATAGTTAAAGCTATTGTAGAAACTATCTCATATACCCCAGCTGCGATGACTTGTTTCTATTATTTAATGACGTTATTTGAAGGAGAAGGTTTTGAGGCCGCATCAACAGAAGTTAAAAATAAATTTTTACCAACATATAAGGTTAATTATTTTATTTTGCCTTTCTTTCTAACTTCGATTTCAATTATTTTTTTTTAGGCTGCTGTATCGATATGGCCAGTAGTTGCTGTAATAAATTTTGGTTTTGTTCCAGAAAAAAATCGAGTTGTATTTATTAGCATATGTAGTTTTATGTGGTCAATATTTTTAGCATATATGAAGCATTTAGATGATATAAAAGATGCCCCAAAATTTTTAACAAATTAATCACTATTATATTATTTTTATTCTGTTTCTTACATTCTTTTTAGTTCCAATAAAAACAGCAAATTTTCTATTTAGGCAAGTATTGTTTTCTTTAATTTATTATTAACACAAATTTAGCTTGCAAACTCATTTACCTTTAAAATTTTTAGAAATTTGAATTAAAATTTCGAAGCTGTGAATGTCAGCTATTATTTCTTATTTATATTATATAGCTAGCTATTCATTTTTATTTTTGCTCCCAAAATTTTCTAAATAAATATAATAAGAATCACTTAGTCAAAATAAAAATTTAGAAAACTTTATTCAGGTTTTTATTGTTTTATGATATTATTAAGTAACTTGTATGTTTAAAAAAAAGATCAATTATCATTCTTTTATAAGCTTTAAGTTTCAACGTCTTGTTCTTTAAACTTAAATATCTATAAATCTACAAAACCAATAGAATTTCAACTTATTATCAAAAAATTAACGTAAAATTAAGTCAAATTTTAAAATTTTTTTATTTCATCGTTCAAAAAATAATAAACAATATGTATACTTATTTCGGACAAATATTTTATGCATGAGTTTTTACCTTATATTTTTATACAATTGAAAAAACTCTCACATCAGCTCTATATATGTATTTATTTTTTTTATTTCTAATACTGTTCTTGTGAACAAGTAGTACAGACACTGTCATCATTTTCACTAAGTTTTAGTTCACAAGAACTGTGTAGCTCTTTATTAGAAGAACATAGTCTTATCTTATCAACTTCTTTTAAAAGTTCTCCAACATCCTCTATAGAATAACTGTCATTCAAATCTTTTTCTAAAAAATGCTTATTAAAAAGGTTGACCGCTGCCTTCAAATTATTATATAAAATAATAGATTTTGATGATAAATACAATATTGGATCAAAATAAGTAAAGGCGATGAAAACGTTTGATGGATCACGATGTATAGCCCACAAAGTTGAAGGTAGTTCAACTTCAAAAATATCTTCGTACAGATCATTAAAAATTTTAATTTTTTCTTTTTGAACCTGCTTATTATTTTGACAAATTGTGTTGCATTCATCAATTTTATTTTTATCGATATTTATTGAAACAACATTGACTACATTATTTTCAACCTCTTCATTTGTGTTTTCCTCTTCACACAATTCCTTAAAAAATTCTTCAGCTTCGTCCGGAAAGGATTCTTCAATTGTATGAACTATAACATTACAAGATTTTTCATTCAAATTGGATACCTTTTTCACTTTTACGCGTTTTAATGAAATTTTTTTCAAAGATATTTCACATTTTTCATTTTTTGTATTTTTAACTCCGCATTTCCGTCCACGTTTTGGCTAAAATATATTTAGATTAAAAAAATGTTTTACCCTAAATGGATCAAATATATGTATATGTATGTACATAATCACAATTTGCTAAATTTCTACATGGAATTGCATTTTCATTTAATTTCGGTCGACCCCGTGGTATAATAACCATTTTACCATTAACCAGAGTTTCATATGTGGTAATCAAATCAGATTCATCGAAATGATCTACGCAAACCTTATCTGTAGATTTAAGTTCCCTTTTCTTCGGCAGAACTTCTTTCCATATAGTATATAATTTCAGATCCTATATAGAAATAATGTGAAAGGTAATTGAATGCTATAAAAGATGTAAACAAAGTTATACCCACTTTAGGTACATTAAAAAACGGTCTGTTTCGCCGATCTCTATTATTCGCATCACAATTCGGTATAAAGCAGCTTCTCATAATAAAATGTTAATAATTTATTAGATCAAGAGGTGCAGGCACTAAAATTAGTATATTTGTAAAACTTTAACTTTAGAATCCGACCTTTTTATATTTTAAATTGTTGTTTTGAACTTTTTTTTTTGTGATTGACATTGAAGTACATATAACATTTAAATGTCCAAAAGTTTTTTGAAGACATATGGCATGGTTAATACTATTTAGTTCCATCAATTATTGAAAGTAATTTTTTCAAATATTTTAACCTAGATTCTTCTACATCGCCTTTAAAATAACAAGACTGCAATCTGAGCAAGCCATTTGTTTCACCAACTTTTTTTATAAAATGTATGCTGCTAGCTTTTATATGACTTCCTGTCATATAAGCTGAATACTTTGAATTACTTCACTTAATTACCAGTTGTTTAAAGGTTTTCATTTTAAACTCCAAATATTTTTCAGTAAAATTTAGAGAATAGTTTTAGTTTTGTTCATATATAATTTTTAACTGCAAAAATTCGTGTTTGTTGTGCAGCATTCTTAAAAAAATCTAAAATAGGAATTAAGCTGTTTTTCTATTTCTGCTGGTATAAATCGGTTTGTTATTTTGACAAAGTTTTGAAAACCATACAAACCCTGTGAACTGGCAATACTGACAGTTGTGTCATTGTGTGTATGCGTTGGCTTAATTTTGACATTTTTGACACATACTACATAGTACAATTTATATATGAAGTTACACGTCTAAGTAAAAATTATTAAATTTAATAATTTAAGATTTGTTTAACCTTTAATATATCTGAAATATGGCTTTAAAGAAAGATCAACCAAACTCAGAGGCAGAAGAAAATGGGATTCTTTTTGATGCACGAAATTTTTATTATATCGGTAATTTTATGAACTGTATTAACACAATCCTTCCGGAACAAACAACTGGTAAATTTTCTTTTGCTTATATAGTTATAGTTTATGAGATATTTTATTTACTGAAGATCAAAATTTTCAGGAACGCCCGAACTCTTAGCATATTCATATCTGTCATATTTAGCCATACAATCTGGTCGATTAATTAATTCGGAAATCGATTCTGATAATAAAACTGCTTTAGTTGCATTCCGATATTTATACGATTACTTTGAAAATCCAGAAAAACGGGAAGAAATCGTATCGTTTTTCCAAGAAAAGTTGCAGCAGGATGTTGGTGAAACAAATATATGGCAAATAGCTGCAGCTATCATATTTGATCATGAAGAGATGCATGAAGAAACATTAAGAGCACTACAAGGATCTAACGACTTAGAATGTATGGCAATGACCATACAAGCATTGTTGAAAATGAACCGGGTTGACTTAGCAAAACCAATTTTAGCAAAGATGCAAGAAAAAAGTGATGATGCAACTCTTACACAAATGGCTCAAGCATGGGTTGGAATATGTAGTGGAGGTGATGGTTTACAGGAGGCATTCCATATATATCAAGAATTCTGTGAAAAATATCCACCGACACCCTTACTTTTAAACGGACAAGCTGTATGTCACATTACACAAGAAAGATATGAAGAAGCTGATGCTATATTGAAGGAAGCTTTAGCTAAAAAGCATAATGACTTAGATACTTTGATTAATTTGATAGTTCTTTCACATCTCACTGGTAAAAGCTCAGAAATTCTTACAAGATACATAGAGCAAATAAGACAATTCTATCCCGAGTGTGATTTCATTAAAGATTTAGATAAAAAATCTGAAGAGTTTGATCGTCTTTGTACTTTTTACAAACCAGAAATCAATGTTTAGTTCTCCTTTCTAATATTATGTAGATACTTTTCGATATATATAATCATATGTTAACAAAAATGCAAAAATATTTTAGTTGTTCCGAATCATAAAATTATTTTTAAAACTTTTGCAAAAATAAAACATTAAAGATGACAAATCTACATTAATTGATTAATATTTCCATATATAAAAATACATATAAGCATTTCTATAGATGTACTTGTTGCACATATTATTTTTTATTTTTTATTGTCCACTTTTAATGCTGCAAATTCAGTGCTCAACAATTTCATTACATCTGCATGCTTTAATTCGGGTTTTTGGAAATTTTTATAATTGTCCTTAACGAATTTAGCGAATCCGGTTGGTTCCTTTATTGGCGTTGAAATAATATTACCATCTTTATCTTTTTTATTCAATAAAATTTCAATTGCACCATGACAATAAGCACATCTTATTTTTTCGACCTTTTTCGATTTAGAATGTGCATGAGATCTATTTAAAAATGTATATTTAATATTGAAAGAGTAATGTACTTATATAAACACCAGATCGTTTTGAAAAAAAAAACTTACTTAGCTTGGCATAACTTGCATTTATAAGTGTATTTATATTCGATATCATAAGAGTGACACACTCCAATTTTTGGTAACTCTTGGAAGACAAAATTTGCTTTTTGAGCCCTGAAAAGCGCTTTTATTTAATTGAAAATTTTCAAAAAATTTTAAAGAAGACATACCAAGCTTTCCATGTGGCTCCATGTCCATGCTCACCATTAAATATCCATGTGGCAGCATGACATAATTCATGTATCAAAGTACACCTTAATCTATCACCACTTGTTAAAACTTTTTCACTTAGCTCTATTACGCTTGAACGTAAATTTCCTCTGAAAAAATAATTTTAATAAATTAGTGCAATTTTCTCGGAAAACTAGGTACCTATAAAGCATGTATTTTAAAAAAAATTTACTTTTTTTTGTTGCTGCACCTTCCCGCAGTATTAACCAACTTTTTATTCCAAATAATTTGAACATTTAATTCGTTTTTAAATAACTTTTCATTATACAACTTGTAAAGTCTATGGGATAACTCTTCTTTTCTGGATTTATAATTTTCTCTGTATATGATTGCATCCGGATGACAGCGTGATATCGGTACCATAACTAAAAATATTAAATTTTAATAACATTCAAGAAAGAACAAAAGAATGAAAAACAATTTCAAATACCATCTAATGATTTCAAAAAGCCATATTTATTCAACGGCACATGCTCCGGAATTTCTTGTTCAATTAAATCTGTTTTTGTTTTTTGAGATTTTGGAGTCCTCGGTGTCTTAGAAGTTTTAGGTGTTTTGGGAGTTTTTGGTGTTTCTTCTTTTGTAGGACATTTAAAATTAGATTCTTTTGCAGTTGGGGTATTATATTTATCTGAAGTTATTGAATATTCAAACTACAAATTCAACAAAAAATAACAATATTTGGTTTACCTTTAGCAGTAGAAGTTGATGGAATTTTGAAAATTGGTGTTCCAGTTTTAACAGATTCTAATTTTTTGTTTATTGGCATTCCAAAAAGTGATGATAATGGAATACTCAATTTTATGTCTTGGGAATCATTTTGCAAAGGTCTTAGTGGAGAATTTGGTGGTATAATTTCATTTTCATCTCCAAAATTAGGATTAAATAATTTTCTTCTTATGTTCGAACTTAAAATAAATGTTTTCAGAAAAATATTTATATTGGATTTAATTCATTTATAAAAACCTGGTAGGTGTAGCTTCTAGTTGTTTCCGAGGTTCAAATGTGCACGATTTTAAGAGGCTATCTAATTTTTCATTAAAGCGTGGATCTTTTAAATTAAGATGAATTAGTTTTGATTTGAGAAATATGTTGATCAATTACCATTTTTTGCTGGTGGGCTTTTATATTCAGTCTGTACTTTAACAACTTCCTGTGATAAATCTAAATATGTAATTTTATCATTGTCCGAACTCTTCTTTTTCCCTGCATCTCTACGTTTCGACTTTTTTTTACTTCTTGATGGTAAACGATTTCCACTAATATCAGAGTCATTTGAGGACAATATAGAGTCTGAAGAAATTCCGTCGCTTTTTGTAGACGACAGCGTTTTGTAAGTCGCATCTGCTTGAGAATCATCGGACCATTGATCAGAAGAGCTATCCATATCTAGAAGATTTTTCCATTGCACAGGCTTAATTTGTCGACCTGAGTTATGTTTGAATATTTTGCAAAAATTAAGTAGGTATGAATATAAATAATTTCTTTACCTGATCGCGTGGCAATTGCAGTAGTTTTTATTTTTTCGGTTTGAGGAATGTCAAGGTTCAAGTTAGATTTATTTTTTTTTTTTGCTTCAGTTAGTGGCAATTTTTGTTTTAGGATTTTTCCTTCTTTATCTGGGCTATTAGCAATATTCAAACGGGTTGATTCAAAATCATTTCGTACATTTTTATGAACTACAATACATTATTATTGTTTGAATTTGAATAACATAATGTTTTTGTTTAAATAAATACTTACAAAGGGAAAAGTCGGTAATTCTTGGCTCTTCACAAGCAAATTTTTCAACCTTTGAGTTCCCATTAAGTACGGGCTTCGCTACTTTGGGAGGTAATTTAAATATTTTGCTTTCAGTTTTATGGTATTTATCTGGCATAAATTCCGCGTCTTTATTTTTTGCTAAAGTTATAGCATTTTTAGGAAAAATTAAATGGTTTTCGTCATTTTGGTATTTTGAATCGTCTTTACTTTTTGAATTAATTGTTTTGTCTAATTTTTTGATATTTTCTGGTGTTTGCCATTGATTTCCGTATAATTTCGTTAAAATCTTTTTTGCTTTTACATCAATATTATCAACAGAAATGTTCTTTTTATCACTTTCAGATAACGTCTCTACAATGGAAGCGGGGGCTATCGCTTTTAAATTCTCCTGATAAACCTCGCTTTGTCTTGAAGTTTGAGTTTTTGGGCTTTCATTGCAATTTCCTGAAGTGTAAGTTTCTTCTTTTTGATCAATAATAATATTTGGTTGAGAATTTATATGAATTTTTATATTAAATTTTGCGGAAACACTTATTTCTTCATATTCGTAATTAGAGGAACCAGATGATTTTTCATTTTGAGATGTATTTCTACAGAATTCTTTATCAGGATTTAAATTATTCTTTTCCGGGAAATTTGATGAGCTACTTGTATTTGGAAAATTCTTTTGAATAAATGATTCTTCTTGTTGAATAGGTGATATTAAAATTTCTTCATTCTTTTTCAAAATTGAATCTTTTATTTCATTTTCTGTAGAAGTACCAGAAATTTCTACCGATTCCTCAACCGACAGGGTGTCGTACAAATTTGATTCGTCTGTAGATTTTGCAAGAATGCTATTTTCAATATTATTAATGCCGCAAAATTCATTAGGTGCAGGTAAATCATTTAAAAAAGCTTCTAAGCGATCTGCCTTTGCATTACTCAATGTATCTGGTAAAAAAGTTTGTCCAGAAGCTTTTATGTCGGAAATTTGATCTGAATAATTTTCAGTAACATCGCTACTTTTTTTCGGGGGTTGACCTAAACTTGAAATTGAAGTATCGGAATCACTTACAACAATAATATTGTAGTCATTTAGGTCTTCACTATCAGAAGTTAAGTCTTCAGATTTCTCACCAGATTCTTCGGAAGATAAACTTATTACTGCAGCAGATGTTTTATTATAATTTCCAAATATTAAGTCTGTATTTGGTTCAGTTTCTGCTAAAGCAATATGTTTTTGGGTTCCATTTTCAATTTTCAATGGTGGAAAACTTTTAATCGTATCTAAATCATTTAAGCTTTTACGCTCACTTTCAACGGAAATTAATTGTGTTTTCTCACAAATCTGTTCAGTTTGAGATTTTCTTGGTGAACAAATACCTAAGCTATTTACTTTTTGTGACAAAACATCTATTAATAAATTTTCATTTGCATTTGATTCATCTGAAAATTTAATTACATATTTTTTAATTCGTAACTACTATTTTTTTTACTTACTTTCAATTGAAAATTCTAATTTTTCCATGTCCTCTGTAATATTGTATTGTGCTGGTCTAATAACTTCTTTTTCCTTTTTCTCAATGTTCTCAATTGCAGAGCAATGTGTTTCATCAGAATCAGATGTAGTCAATTGATTGAATATCTCGGAAAGTTTTTTCGGTTTATAAGGTATCCTATTTGATATGTTTTTATCAGTATTGAAGTTGCTGTTGCTGCTTTCGAAAATTTTATTTAATTCTTCAAACTCACTTTCTGAGGAATCGTCAGTTAGTATTTCTCGCAAAATATTTTTACTTAATTCTTTACATTCATTAGATTTTTCCTTTTGAATTAGATTTGCTTCCAATGACTTTCTTAATTGTTTCTTCTTTGATAAGGTTAATTTGGCAAATCCTATAAAATAAAGCTATTAACTTTATGCTCATAGTATTAACTAGTTAAATCAATTAACATACGTTCTTTGATATTAGAAGGTATTCTGTAAAATTCTTCGGAATCAAGCAAGCCATATAAATAATCCATTACAATATTTATTTTTAATAATAAATAGAATTTTTAAAAAATTGTTCCTCAATAATCAGCTCTTTCAAAATAAACAAACTGTAAATAATCAATCTAGAATAAAATTTAAAAGTTTTAAATTCAAAAAGCTAATGTTTCTCAAACTTTTTCGGTACGTCATTTTAGTGGAAACAATGGGATCTAACTAAATGTAGTAGAACAGGGTTAGGTAAAATTTATTGACTCATGATGATTATCATGTGTATGGGGAAGGAAAACAATTATGTTATATAACCACTCACAATATTTATACTGAATTGAGTATTTAAAAACCACTTATTATAATGAATTATAATATATTTGAATTATACGAAAGACCCATATAAATAATATGGTTCTTTGGTATAATTTAGTTAAATAAATTTGAAATGATTTTTAAACTCCATTCTCATACACTCTCACAGAACCTAATTTTTGTTTATGTTAATGTTGATATTACAAAATAGATGGCGCTCCAGTCGAGAAAAATAAATATATTGACTTTAACTGTCAGAGTTCATTCTGCTGTCTTTCAAACCAAAGTAAAAATAAAAAGACAGCACACGATTGTTTATTAAAATTATTTTGATTTGATTTTTTAGAAATATTTTATTTTATTATCAATAAGAAAAATGGGACGTCGTTCAATAAATACCACTAAGAGTGGTAAATATATGAATCCAACGGATCAAGCTCGTAAGTAGTTTTTAAAATTCGTAATTAAAATTTTAAATAAAAATTGCAATAATTATAGGGAAGGAGGCCCGAAAAAAGGAACTCAAAAAAAATAAAAGGCAACGACAAATGGTTCGTGCCGCAGTTTTGAAAGGAAAAGATCCTGCACAAATATTAGAAGAAATGGAAAAAATAGATGAAATGGGTAAAAATTTAGTACCCCTTTGTATTTAGGTTTTATTGAATGCTGTAAAATTGTTGAAATTTCAGAATACAATGTTTATCAACCATCTCCTCTTAATGAAAAAGTTCTTCGAGAAAAAAGAAAAAAACTTAAAGAAACGTTTGATAGGGTGATGAGACTTTATGTAAGTTCTTCAGGAAAATTTGATACACTTATGATACCTTTTTCTTACTTTTACTTATTTACAAACAGCATAATGATGATCCAGAACTTTGGGCCGATTTAAAAAGAAAAGAAGTGGAGTACGAAAAAAAACGTTTGAAAAAACAACAATATTTTGAAAGTGTCAAAAGTGCACAAAGTGTCCAAATTGATGAGATTCCCTTACCACAAGTAAAAACAAATTAATCGAAAAAGATTTAAAAATCTAATAATTCATTCACACTTTTTTAGATGACAACACCTGGACAACAGCCTGGAGCAACCCCTTTGCCAAGAGTGCCACCACCAAATGTCTTGAATTTTCCTCCTTTAATGCCTCCAGCACCACCAGGAGCAACAGTAAAGCGTTCTGATCCAGTACTTATAGATTTGTTTTAACGTTTCGTAGTATTCTATTTTAAAAATATTAAATTTCAGACTAGTCACACAACACATTCTCAGAAAATTGAAAAAAGAAAAAAGGAGGCACCTGGTTGTCCACCTGGACCACCACCTAATTTAATAACAATGAGAGAACTAGATTCCGATGCTGAAGAAGAGGAAATACCTCTACCAATTTCAGTAAATAAGAAAAATGCAAAAAGTGATGAAAACATTGATATTTCAAATACAGAAGGACGGAAAAATTCTTTTTCAAGCAAAAATATTGACGAATTCATGAAAGAAATTGAAGATGTTCATCGCCAACGCGAAAACGAATTAGATGAAAGTGATAGTGATAAGTCCAGCGATGAAGGTGATGATGATGAGAAAAAGTTTAATGACGAAAATAAAAATTCAGGCACTGATGAATCAAATAGTGAAGAATCTGGTGATGAGGAAGAAGACAATGTTATTCCTGAAAAAGGTTTATCAATACCTTTGCCCCCCATTCCTCCACCCCCACCAGCAATGGGCACTTTACCAGGTGGTCCACCACCTCCTCCAATTGGAATGCCACCATCAATGATGCAATTTAGACCTCCTCCAATGAGGCCGGGCGTACCACCTAATATTTCTGGAGTTAGAATGCAAGGTAAATAAAAATTTAAAAAAAAATAAAAATTTGCAAAATTTAAAATAATAAAATTTTTGCTTTTAGGTCCACCTGTACGGCCAGGTATGGGTATGCCACAACGATTAGGTATAAGAATGCCACCTGGGCCACCACCAGGAATGCCACCTAATCGTATGATGCACCATCATCAAAAAGGTCATCACAATGCACAACAGCAACAACAACAACTACAACAGAAGCCTGATTCTAAAGGTGTTACAACAATTACTGCGAAACCGCAAATAAGGTTTGATTTGATTAATATTTTCAATATTATGGAAAATATTTAATATGTTTACTATTTTTAGAAATCTAAGTGCTGATGTAACACGTTTCGTGCCATCAGCATTACGTGTTAAAAGAGATGATCAAAAATTACAAAAAAGACCAAAACCTTATCCACAAGAGATTAAACAGAACGAAGCTAAAACTGGAGCGACGAAGGATGATGCTTATATGCAATTTATGCAAGAAATGCAAGGTCTTCTATAAATTCAATGAAAGCATTAAATTAAGATATTTTATGTATGTAAATTAAAAGCTAGGTTATTAGATAAAAAGGAAAGTAACGAAAAATTGAGTAAACTAATGTTTAAATTTAAATTCCTCTATTTAGTTTTATTTGATACACATGTAAAATCAAAAATTTCAACACTCTCATATGTTGAATAATTCTAAATTCTTATCACAACCTCGAGAACATACCATTAAAAAATTACCAAAATTTAACATCAAAATTTCAATTTATTAAAGATAAATTTGGTACTAAATTACAACATATAAATAAATTATAAAATTTGATTCATCTTACAAACAATTGGGAAATTTTCCTCTTGCTACGACATACTCGTATTCAAAATCAGCTTACCTTGTAAATATTTTAATTTAATTTTTTTAACTGTATTTTGAACTTTTGCAACAAATTATTTTAACAAAATTGTTAACTATTTTTTTAATGATGCTTGAATTTGATCTAAACAATATTCCGCCTGTTCTATCACACGTTTGTCCTTTATTTTGTGCCCATACCTATAAGCTGTTGAACAAATCTCTTTTGCACTTTCTACCAAGCCCTCTTTAAGGTACAAAAGACCCAAATTCGCTTTTAGTACACCGACTTCTACTATCTCCGGCAAATTTTTCGCCAATTCTAAAGCCTCCTCTAAGTATTTTTTTGCTTCAATGTGATCATTTAACTAAAAGATAAATGTAATTTTTAATAATTATAGTTTTTGTGTAGGTACATATTTACATTTATACAAGCCACACTTAAATTATTCAAAATCATCAGTGCCTCTTCGTTAAATTTTCCATATTCATTTGTCAATATATCATAAGCTTGTATAAACATCGTTTTGGCTTCCGCAAATTTCTCAGTTTGCATTAAAAGTTGTGCATACCTTATGAGTTGTAACAAAATTCTATTAATTTGGTAGTGGATTAGTGAGAATGTTACCAATTTTTAGTTAGACCATATAACTCTAGAAGATCGTTATCATTTGGTAATGATTTTAACTTCTGTTCTATCTTTTCAATTGTCCAAATGAAACCTTGTTTAGCTTTTTCTAATTGACCCTTTAATTGTGACATATGAGCTATTTTAGAACTTATATGAAGAATTTTGTTATCATCTTCTTTGTATCCATCTCCAAGTAATCGTCTCATTACTTCCGTAAAAAGCTTTTCAGCCTTTTCAAACTGTTCTTGTTCCATGGCTAAATTTGCCATAACATCGTAAACATATGTAATACCTGATTCGTTTGGAATATTAAGAATTCGGCAATTTCATTTAAGTATTTTCTTACCATCTTTATGTTGCATTTCTTGAGCAATTTTCAATGCAAGATGCAACATTTGTTCAGCTTTATTATATTCTTGCCTTTGAATGCATAATATAGAACGTTTAATTGTAGTTATTAAATGATGCTCCGGAGATTCCTCTACAAAGTATAAAAAAATTTATGTATGTTCTATTACTATAAAGAGTGAGTTTTTGAAATTTTTTCTGACCTTCTTCCGATTTACTTTTAAAAAATAATCCAGCAAAAACAATAGGAAATATCGGATACTTTTTATTTTGTTGTTTAAAATTAGTCGAGTTTAGCATAACTTGATTGCACAAAAATCGCGAATTTTGTTCCTTTGGGAAATGTTCGACCGAACATACTTTAAAGTTTTTGAAATATTTAATATTTCTTGAACTTCTCGATGATATATTCATCATTCTAAGTATTATCGCATTCATATTATCCTTTTCCAAAGAAATTTTAATTTTATACAATAATAATTTGTCATGAAAATGTAAATATTTTTACGTCATAACAGAAAATAAACCAAAACAAAACATACAAAGTTGGGAATTAATATCGAAGCGATTATCGAAATTTTGATGTCCAGAAAAAACACCTTCTTGTCAGAATAAAGCAATAGAAACTAATAGAAAAAATTTGTTTATGCCATATACGAATTATACATAAGTAGTACAAAACTGTGAAATTATGAAGAATAAAACATTTAATTCTTATTTTGAAACCCATACTAAAACTGATCTATACTAAGAAAGGACAAAAAACATATCTCTTAAATTACAATCCTATAGTAGCACTTGAGTATAACAATCATGATGACAACTGCAACATCATAATTAATCCATCACTATTTGTGGATTATGTTCCATAATCCACATGAAATTTCCCTTGTAGATCGATATGAGAAAGATATGTCAGTAGTATACTAATATAGTGCTAATGTCAAATTTTGTTCAAGAAAAACAAAACTTCACTTTGAGAAGTACATGCATACCAAATTTGATAAATTTTGCAATATTAAATTGTTTTTTAAAAAATATTTTTATAAACAATGAGTTCTAAATTTATAACAGAAGCAGAAATTGTCGAAATGAAGAAGAAAAGACAAGAAGAATGGGAAAAAGTACGAAATTGTGATGATCCAGTGGAGGCTCCAGAAGAACCATATGATAGTAGATCTCTTTATGAAAAATTAAAAGAACAGAAAATGAAAAAAGATTTAGAATATGAGGAAGCGCACAAATTAAAAAATTTGATTCGAGGTCTTGATGACGATGAAGTGCATTTTCTTGATTTAGTTAGTAAGCAAAAATATGAAAATGAAAAAAAACAACAGTTGGAGGTTGAAAAAGAACTTGAAGATTATAGAAAACAAGTTGCAGCCCTTCAAGAAAAAACAAATCAAAAAAGAATTGAAAATATGAATTCTAAACCAAATTCTAAAATAGTGAAAACAAAATCTACACAAAAATCTTTAATGAGTGGCATAATAAGAAAACCATCTGGAACATGTGAAACTTCAAAAACAAACAATGCGCAAAATTCTGATATGGAAACTAAAAAAATTGCTCAAAAACGAAAACCTGAAAATGATATAGAGAAAACTACTGCAAATATGGCTAATACTGCGGATAAAGGAGCTCTGAAATGCATTGCAATTTTACCTGGTATAGGACGTTACAAAGAATCATCAGATTCAGAAATGAGCTCTGATAGTGATGAAGAAATTTCAAATGAAAAATATGATCTTTGTGGAAGGAAAAAGCAAAAGAAATGTGAACAAGAGCAAGAATAAGTAAAAATAATTATGATATCGTAACTTGTTTAAAGAAGTTCAATACAAATTTATTATTAGCAGTCGTTAATTTTCGATAAACATTCTTTGATAAATAAATTAACATGGATAAGAATTGAAAAACAACTTTATAAAGAAATTTCCTTAAATCTACTTTAAAGGGTAAATAAATGTACAGTAAAGTTATATTTTTATGTTGTTTTTTACATTATCTAAGTTTTATTTAGGTAATATTTTTAATCAAAACTTATCAATTCAGCAGTTTTAACTTCTATTTCTTCTTGATTTTCTTCCACACCAGTACTTCCAATTTCATTTGAAGCTACATTAGTAGCAGATGATGATTGAACTGACGGTACTGTTTGTTCTTGATTTTGATTTTGAGGAACCCCCATCATACCAGATTGCTGTGGAATCATATTATTGGTCATTGGGTTATTTAAATCTTGTAAGCCTTGATTAGTCTGCTGTATGTTTTGATTCGTATTTCCATTCTGATTTAAATGTTGATTAGAAGCCATATTTTGATTTGCGTTTTGATGGATGTTTTGGTTTTGGTTCAAGTTAGGATTCGACATCATTCCAGGGTGCCCTGGTGGTATGTTTGCATTTAACCCATGGTTTATATTTACATTGTCTATGTTTCCTGTCAATTAATATATTTTAGAAGAATTTTTTTAAGTTGCATATTTATTAATTTTTTACCTGTTTGATCTATATTGGGAGGATGCATATTTTGTAAATTCCCTTGTGGAATATATTGAGGAATATTGTGTCCCACGCCAGTCATTTGAGAATTTATTTGATTTCCAATACCTGAGTTGTTTGCATAAATATCAGCTACGTTTTGTTGTGGTGGTGGATTAGAGCCTGGATACTGATTAATTGGCCCCTGTTGTCCTGGAATAGGAAAACCAAAGGGCATGAACATTCCTGTAGTATTCATTTGATGATTAGGTGATCCCGGCTGCCCACTTGGAATATAACCAAGCTGGCTTTGTCCAATTCGATATTGGGCCTTTTGCTGTTCCTGTCGTATTTGCATTTCTCTTTCCTGTTCTTGAATACGTTGTAGTGCCAATTGCCTTTGATACTGTAAATATTCTTGTTTCTTCTTTCTCATTATTTCTAATTTTTGAGCCATTTGCAACTGTCTCTGGCGTTCTTGTTCTTCAGCAGCTCTCCTTAATTTTTCAGCATGTTCTTGACGTAGAAGATCTAAGGCCGCACGCGAGTCTTTTACTTGATTCAACTTATCTTGTAGTTGTTCACACCACATCCGTTTATCATCTGTTTTTTTTATATAAGTTAAAAGCTGAGAGTGTAATGAAGTTATATTCATGAAAAGGGTTTGAACTGAAGTATCGTTTGCAATATTTCGCCCACGACTGGAATTTGACTTCATACGATTCACAAAGATCTCTACCTGAGTTTTCATATTTATGGCGAAATCGTCCATTTCCTCATCTTCTGACAACAGCTGTAGTACACAAATTAAGAATTCAGGAATATCAAAGATTTAAGAAAAAATGAAGGATTAAATTTAAAATCAGGTTTTTTACAAGGTTTTTTTGCTATACCTTACTGTTATTTGTTATATTTGAAACAATTTGTTGTGGCATAGGACTAGGAGCTGAAGGACTAGCTGGAGCAACTGCGGCAGCACTTTTTTTTTGTTCCCAGAAATTTCTATTTAAATATTTAGCTAGTTCAGGATCACTCACTTGCTCTTCACTTTCAAATGAACTTGAAAACTTTGGAGACGACGGTTCTTCTATTTTATAAGGTTTGAAGGACATCGCTTTTGACTGGAATTGATAATACAAACGTTTATTAGTATAGATGTTTCACGTTACTAAAAATTAATTTAACCTTCTCTTTATTTTTTTGTTCGGCTTCAGATTGGCTTAGGGCCAAAGCTAATTGCAATTCTTCTTCCTCCTTCAACTCTTGTTCAGATTTTCTTGGAGGGTTCTTTGTAGGAAAAGTAAAATTTATTATTATTTATATTATTACAAAAGAAAAAATAGAAAAAACAAAAATAATTTAACCTGCGGCTGTTGAGCCAGAGTACTGTTTAAATATTCCGCTGGTAAATCAGTATCCACAACATTTCTTTTAGATTGAGGTTTTTGTAGGTTAGCATAGCAGCCATCGCAAACCCGTACCTAGATATTAAATTCAATTAGGGCATGAAAAAGAAAAATATATAACTGACCTCTTTTTCAATTCCAAATTTTGGCAATGGACATTGTTTTGATGAGCACTGCCCGCAAAAAATTTGCCCACAATTGCGGCAATGATGTTTTCTTATTGTGAACGAAAACTCAACTCTACATCTGTGGCAAACTTTTCCGTCAGCCCATCCAGGGGCTGTATCTGCTGTAAACATTGCATCTGCTTCTTTCAACTCCGGAAAAATATGTCCTTTTGCTTTAAGAATAGTCATTGTATCCTTTAAATTAATAAAGCATTTTAGATTTTAGATTTTACATGTACATAGGAATTATATTTTTCACTTACTTTAATTGATTGATATTTTTCAGAAGAACGAAATGCGTATGCCCATGTTTGTACAAGTTCTAATAACTTTTGTCTTACATTTTCATGTGGTGTTTCTTCAATAAAATTGCTAAACATCTCACAATTTTCTTTCGTAAAAATTTCATCGTGCATTGGAGTGCCACAATTTTTAACAACACTTTCTAACACCAATAGAGCATAATATGCTGAATGAGGATTTGGTGATGACATTTTTTTCTTAATTGACTGGAATGCTTGTTTTGCACTAAAAAAATTCAACATGAAAAATCAACTAAATTAATTTTTTTTAATATACAATTTACCTTATATCATTTTGCCTTATAGCATCGCAAATTAATAATATTGATGGCCAATCTGGTTCCAAATGAAGATGGCTTGTGGCATTTTCTGAAAAATAAAATTTTAAACTTAATTCAATATTTGAATAAAAATTCTTTGTTGCTGAAGATGACTCATTAGTGATAAAGTACAATTCTAACTTGTTTTCTTTTTGAACACAAACCTAAATTTTTATCAAAATACGAAACTCCAAACATTTTGTAATACTTTCAAATTTTATCACACTAAATATTTTATATAAAAAACAAAAACACAATATTAATATTTTTTCTCAAAATTTCTATTTAATTAGCAATAGCTTTGACTTTGCACAACTTTTGATTTCTAAACATCAATTAAATGTCAAAATATTAAAAAAACTATGCGATAGAAACTGAAGTGACTTCTAGCGTAGATTAATAAAACTAAAGTAAATTTATTTATACAAGAAAATTGTCATAATTATATTTTCTCTTTTACCGTTTTTTTACGGTACTTTCGAATAACAGGATATTTCATTGTGGAAAGAGAATAAAAACTCTAAAGAATAAAAGTTAATAATTAATAAAGAATAATTCTAAGTTAAAAATAAAGAATAATTCTATTAAAATACGAAATTAAATAGAAAATTTAAAATAATTTTTTTTCAATTTCAAAAAATTTAACTAATTTTATATTATTTTTAAATATCAATCAAGAGCCCGCAAAATCACTTCTACTTTATTTTATATTAAATTTTTATTGGGTAAGTAAAAATTGTGGTAACACTTGAATTTAACCTGACTACGCGCTCACGTGCGGTAAACAGCCAAAGTTAATACTTTTTTAAAAAAACATTTAAAAATTATATTATTAGTTGATGAATTCATAAATAATTCATTAAAATACATACGTAATAAATACATGCTACACAATAGTCGTATGTTAGAATTTTATTTATTTTCTGTAATAAGAAATAACGTAGAAAAAATATTAAATGTGGCAGACTGATTTCATGTTTGGCTGGTCTTTAAGATTTTTAGGAAAGCTAAAAAAGAAAATTTTATATTTTGGGTAATTTATTACAAATTTAAAAGTAATCATATTCGTTTTATCCATAATTAATCTTAAGTCTCCTAATCTACAAAATTTTAAAATTAAATCAAATTTAAAAAAAAAAATAAAATTATCTATTTGTATAATATTAACTATGAACTAAAATTATTTTTACTGAATTAGTAAATAACTTATAAGTAATTGCAGGAAAATTCTTGTAATTCTCCTTTACTGTTTTAATTTGTCATTTATTTTCTTATTCATTTCTTTGCTATTTTTATTCATAATTTGGTTTTTCTTTACAACAAATGATTTAATTTCTCTTTCCAGTTTTGTTTTATATTTTAAATTTTGTGCTATTATTTCAATGTCATTGATTTTTAATGGTTTATAATCATCCTCTTCAATTGTTTCTACATTTTCATCTTCAATATAATTTAATGTGTTTCTTGATTCCTGTTGTTTTTTCAATTTTTCAATTGTCTTCTTAACTAATATTTCGGTTATATGAACTTTAGTAACATTCAATTTCACTTTAGGTGAATCTTTTCGTTTTAATTGTTGTTGGTATAAATATATACTGTATGATAACGTATATCCTAAATCAAATTTAGAACTAATTATTTTTAAATATTTTTTTTTATTTTCGGGATTCTTTTGTTCCCCTTCAAAATTTTTTGATGCTTCAACAATGGCTGACATATTTAATTCGTTGTACTTTATGTTGATAATTAGAGTAAATCAAGACTATATGACTATTAATTGCGAATATTATTATATCTCTTATATTTATATTAATTGCGAATATTGTTATATATGTCTCTTATACGAAAATTTTGTTGATACTGAAGAATTTGCAAAAATTGTATGGATATTTATAGCGAGAAAATCTTGTTATCTTTTTCAACTAAAACTCATGTACATAGTGTAAAAGTGGTTATAGAAGGGGTGAAGGTATAATTAAGCTGTTTAAAACTATTACCTGCAAAATGACCAATTTATATACGAGTACTATTTATATTTACCTGATTCCATTTAGTACTAGCAAACCTCTGTATATTTTAATGCGTTATATAAGTTCTTTAGAATAAGAATTCTTCTTAGCACAAGAATATTTGTGAATTGTCTACTTATATACATAATAATTATTTCATCTGTTCCAATTGAAATGTTTCATTGTTGCACGAGGTATGATTTTTTAACTGTTATGTGTCGCTGTTAAATTCTTTAGTGTTTTAAATTTTTTAAAATAATAAAATTAGACTGCTATCAAATTTACCAGGTGAAAATAAAGAGACTGAATTTTATATACTAGATTAATAATTTCGTAATGTAATTTTTAAGTGAGAAAAATTTTTCCATATTGCAAAATTTAGTCACCCTGCATTTATTTTTTTTAAGGTCGATATTTTGAGAAACTTTTTGAGAAATCTTATTGGGAAAATAGCACATTCAAATGAAAAAACGAGATATTTTTTTAATATTACAGGACGACTGTCCGTAGTGTTTAATATTAAAAAAAATTATAAGAATTCAAAAATAGATAAAAAAAAAAAACCAAATTTTAAATAATTTTTTTTATTTTATTATTTTCTACTAGCTTATTTCCATAGAATTTCTTCAACGCCGCCACTGGTTTCTTTTTTTTTAAGTCATATACAAGGTTCCGATTTTCTCTTAAAATATTTTAGCTATTTTATATTGTTTTTTCCCATTGCTCATAACCACTTTTCGAAACCGGCTTTTCTTTATTGAGTTTATGAAATTTCCCATCTCCTATTGACCCCCTCCCAGAGTTATAATTTCTCTCAGCAGTTTGATTTTTCAAACCACTTTTAATATGATATTTATCCATCCGTTTTATAAATAATAATCTTTCAATTTTTGTTATACGATTTATTAATTTCTTTTTGTATAGCACAGATTTTGTCATATTATCAGACTCTTGTAAATCAAACAAAATATCTTTTATATTTTGTTTTATGGTAGGAGGAGAATTTTTAATTTTGAAAATTCTTTTTAATACCAATTTATCAGTAATATTGACTTTTGTTAAAGCTTTTTCTAATAAATGAAATTTACGAGTCTTAAGTTGTTCTCGATATAAAAATAATGAATATGGTAAAGAAAAATTATTTGTTTGTAATTTTGTAGATTTTTTATTGTTATTTAAAGTTAAATTTGTCAGATCTTTAAGAATTTTCACCATTATTTTTTTTTCTCAAAGACAATTAAAAAATAATTGTTTTAGGGCAAAAATTATTTTCAGTTTAAGCTTTTATAATATACTTAAAGAATAGATTAAAACTGTTTTAAATTACAGAACTTTTACTGCCTTTTATATAGAAAAACAAATGTTTTTAAAATGTTTTGTACCTTAAAAAAATATGTACGTACTTCGAAAGAAAAGGTAAAAAAATTTTATCCTTTATGAATATGAAGCATGATTAATCGATGTGTACACTTAATTTGCAACCAGGTCAATTTTTTTTTTGTGTTCTGATTACCTAAAATTAGTAAACTAGAATATAAGGCTAAATTTATTCTTTACTAAATGCACATACCTGTAAGTTTCATTGTACGATACAGAATCCTTAAATCTTTATTTTATAGTGAGGGTAAAGTTTGTATGATTTGTTGGTTTAAAAAAGTAATGGGATTGTGCGCATGTTGGAAAACATTTTTATATTGCACATACAATGCATTATGTCTACCTGTTCTGAATTTTATTAGCAGTAAAATATAAGCAGAAAAAGAAATTAATTTTTTATTAAAAATATAGATATTTTCATAAACTCAATACTGCAAAACAATAACTGTGAAACGCAATACTGCAAAAAACATAATTATAAATATATTTTAATTATACTATAACTGCATATTTTAACTATACAGTTAATAAGATTAAACTGCGCAATTCACAAAGTTTTAAGGACAAACTAAATATAGCGCAATTTTCATTATATATCGCGACATATAGATTGCGTTTTTGAAAACACCTAATAATACCAATGGTATTTTTTAGGTAAAACAAAAAATATTAAGAAACAAATATGTAGAGAATATATTTAGAGAATGTACAGATATAAAAAATTATAAGTTATCATAAATAACCATTCTCCCCTATTCTAATTTAATTTAACACCAACTAAAGAGGCGAAACAATGAACAAAAATTTGAATTTTAATAATTAGAATATGTTCATTGGAAGTAAGTATTATATTAAATTTTAGAAACTTGAAAAGAAATTAAATTTTAAATTTGATCCATTGTACCTATTTATGTATGTATCTGTAAATTATGTAGTTACTAAAATTTATAATTTATTTAATATTATAAAATTTAAATGTGTGCTCTAATTTTAAGAGTCTACAGTCTTTAATAGCATATATTTTTAATGAATTTTGATGGTTTTCAGTTAATTCTGGTGGGTCAGCATTTATCATTAAAGCATCAATTAATCATTAAATTACTTTCTTAATAATCATAATTCCCTGGGATTTTTTTTTTGTGATTATGCAAGTAACCCACGCAAGTTTATTAATAAAAGAGCAATTTTACATCTTCAAATATTTACAGTTATACAATACTTAAAAATTGTTGAAGATATTAGTAATTCCAAAATTTATAAACATGTTCATTAAATTCATAATAATGTTCATAATTCAGTTCACAAAAAAATTTGTAAACAATAAAATTGAATAAGCAGTGCTATTATTACAAATTTTATCATAATGCAGTGTATGACAGTTCTATATTTGAAATCCACTTCTCAATTTTACTTCATTTAGAATAAATAAAATATTTCAAATTCGATTATAAGCAATTGATTGAATAAAAATATATAATTTAGATTTTTCTATAATAATTATTATTATTATTTATTAAGGTTACAATTAATTACAAAATTTACATTTTAATGTCATTAAAAAAAAATTTACATTATTTAAAATTATAATTATATTTTAATTTTAAAATACACTGGAATTAAATTCTTCCTTTGACATACATATTAAAAATTTGAGGTATATATAAAGTGATAAATTCTCGCTTGACATATAAAAAAGTGTGATCAGGATCAAATCCATATTTTTCACAAATTTTACTGGGGTTTTTATTATACACACACACATATATATGAAATTATCAAATTTTAATAAATCTAAGATTACCGGTGGGTTTCTTAATATTAGTATTCATTTTACTTGAATTTTCTTGTTTTTCCTTTTTATCATTTTCATTGACATTATAATATTGATCCATTTTTTTTCTGACATAGGCACGTTGTGTTTGTACAAT